AAGGACGGTAAAGAACTCCGATTATATATAGACTATCGGAAGTTAAATGATATTACCGTTAAGAATATATACCTACTACTACGGATTAATAAGCTATAGGATAGGCTTAAAGGCGCGAAGTACTTTATAACGATCGATATAAGAGACGCGTACTACCGTATACGTATAAAAGAAGGCGAAGAATAGAAGATAGCCTTTAGGATCTACTATAGTCTATATAAATACTACGTAATACTATTTAGACTTACTAACGTACTAGCGACGTTCTAAGCGTTAATTAATAATATCTTATAGAAATACTTAGATATCTTCTACGTTATATACCTTAACGATATTCTAATCTACTTAAAGGATTATAAGTCGTATATAGAATATATTATAAAGATACTAAAGGTACTAAGAGATTACTAACTATCGATTAAGTTAGAAAAATACTAATTTTATAAATTAAGCGTAAAGTTTCTTAATTATATAGTCTCGTAAGACGGACTATAGATTAATCTAGATAAGATTAAGAGCGTATTAAAATAGCTAGAATTAACGACGTTAAAGGAACTATAGACGTTCCTTAGATTCGTAAACTACTCAAGAAAGTTTATTAGGAACTATTCGTAAATCGTAGTACCCTTAACGAACTTAATAAAGAAAGGAGTCGCGATCTTTACTTTAATAGACGACGCCTAGGAAGTAATATAGAAACTAAAGAAGGCGTTTACGGAGGCTCCGATCCTTACGATCTTTAATCTAGACCTCTAGATACTCCTTAAAATAGATATATTAGACGGCGCGATCGCCGTAATCCTAATATAGATAGGATAAGATAAGAAAATAAGACTAGTAGCTTATTTTTTAAGAAAAATAATAGTACTAGAGTTAAACTACGATATATACGATAAAGAGCTACTTACTATCGTTAAAGTACTAAAGTACTAGAGAGTATACCTTAAAGGACTAAAATATACGGTTAAGATATACTTAGATTATAAGAACCTACTATACTAGAATATAACTAAGGTTCTTAACTAAAGATAAGTAAGATAGGTAGAGATACTTACTACTTATAACTTCTAGATTTACTATATAAAAGGAAAAGAGAACGGTAGAGTAGACGCTTTAAGTCGACGAATAGATTATATAGTAGATATTAAATTAACGCCCGCGTTACTACTACGATAAGAAGGAGAGTACCTTACGTACGCTTAACCTACTTACGTAGTAGGGGAGCCGTTATATAATATAAATAACGGGTACGATATAGAAATCTAGACGAAGGATATAATAGGACTTAAATAGCCCTAGAAAATATAAGAAAATAGAAAAGTAGTTATAGAATACTACTATAACGACGTACTTATAGGATATCTAGGAACGGATAAGATAATCGAACTTATTACTTAATATTATAAACTATAGAAAGATATAAGAAAAGATATTTAAGAATTTATACGGAACTATAAAGTATATACGTAAGATAAGTATAATAGATATAAACTATACGGATTACTATAACTACTATAGGTACTAGAGGGTACGTAGACGTTAATTACGATAGACTTTATTATAAAGCTATTAAGGTTAAAGGAGTCCCTTACGGACGTAACCTATAATAGTATTTTAGTAATATATAATAGACTTATAAAGTTCTCCTACTTTAGACTATACTTAGAAAGCTCGATAGTAGAAGACTTCGTATATAAATTCTTAAGAATCGTATTTATAAACTACGGTATATTAAAAGAAATTATTACGGATAGAGATAAACTCTTTATATTAAAGTTTTAGAAGGAACTAATAAGACTATTAGTTACAAAGTATAAACTATCTATATTATTCTACTCTTAGATAGATAGTTAAATAGAGAGAATGAACTAGACGCTAGAATAATACTTACGAATATACGTAGACTATAAATAAATAAATTAAGTTACGATACTACCGATCGTATAATTCTACTTTAATAACTATAAGTTAATAATAGAATTAAGCTTATTCTACGCTAACTACGGATTCTACCTAAGACTAGAAGATAATATTTAAGAAAGCTCGAACTTAAGAGTACTAATAAAGGCTAATACGATAAAGGAAATTTACGAGAGATTACGAGAAATCCTATAATTTATCGTAAAAAGAATGATAATATACGTAAATAAGAAAAGGGTTGAGGGACCGCCTCTAGAGGAGGAGGACCCCGTCTATCTTTTACGAAAAAATATTAAGATAAAGCGGCTAAGTACGAAACTAGATTACGTTAAGCTAGGACTATTTAGAATTAAGGAAAAGATAGGGAAGGTTAACTATCGACTAGAACTTCCTTAAGATATAAGAATTTATAGTATATTCTATATCTTATTACTTAAACTAGTACTAAAGAACGCTAAACTAGTCTAATTACTACCCTTAGATAAAGAAGTTACTACGGAGGAGTACGACGTAGAGAGAGTACTTAGGAGACGCGTTAGGCGTAGTACCCCTTAGTACCTAATTAAGTAGTTAGGGTATAACGAGTTAGAAAATAGTTAGGAACCGGAGGCTTACCTTACGAAGGGAACTCTAGAGGAGGCTCGAAAATAATACCTTAAGTAGTTTTACTAGATAATATAGCCTCCTAATTAATCTACTTAACGCTCGGAGCGTCGGACTAAGTAAAGTTAGGCTTAGCTAGAGCTACCTCTTTAGAATTAGGTAGTTTATTAAAGATACCTAACGCCTATATCTTACGACGTAATATATAACTCGAAACCTCCTCTAATCGCTTAAGCTCGCCCTAGAAGGATACGTCCTCTTCCTCGGCCTCTATAATTAGCCTACGAAGACGAGCGATCTCTTTTCGCTTCGCCCGCGACTTTATAACTAATTATTTCTTTTATTCCCCTACTTTTCGGAATTCTTCTATTAAAAAAGTACTATTACATTTTCGCTGTTTTTAGAGATATTCGGTATAAGACGACGACTATTCGCGGTCGTAGTAATAGATAACTTCGTAGTTAATATACTCGGTGTAGGCTACTATCGCGATATTCTCTTAATCGGCGGAGATAGAATCGGCGAGTTTAATACGACGCTTACTTTAAGTTTTTACCGGTTTTATAGAACGACGAGGTTTAACTATGCGGAAGGACTATATAGTTAGCTATAAGAATAAAGAAGAAGATGAGAGACGACGGAGGGTAGGCGCGGCCTACCTTAAGTACGTTAAGGATAACGAATAGGAAGGAGGGGAGATAGTATTAGAAACGACCTTTATATAACCTAGAGCGCGGGGCGCTTAGAGGTAGGTCTACCGGAACGACAGCTTAGCGGTATAAGGCTAGGTTACGTACCGTACGTAACTACTGAAAAAGGAAAGAGACGATATAGCGATATATTAGTATAGTCTATATTAACATATTAACATATCATTCCTAGTTACCTATTCGGAACATACCTTATAAGTATATAGCTACGCCCATTCCCCTTTTATAGTTACACTCTCTCGTAGCTAACTTATAATATCTACTTTACTATACTATTCTAAAGTTACTCGACTATTTATACCTTACGTACTCTCGACCTAGCTTATATAATAAAGGAACTATGACTAAGGAAGCCTAACTCCGTTAGGCTATATAGGAAGCAGCTCTGACACTACTGACATTGGAATGTTACATAAGAAAAGTAAAAAGGAAGAAAGAAACAAACTGAGGGAGAAGAAATGGTATTCATATACCTAGGTACAAGAGGCGACCGCATTAGGACACAATGAGGCTATTTATGACTATACTATTGTCGCGATACCTTCACACTGCGCATTCACATCGCGCATTCATATACACGCTCAATGGGCTCAATAGCGATTCATACAGCGATTCACATGGCGCATTTATGCACACGCTCAAGGGGCACATTCAACAGCGCATTCACATACTGCATTCACACAGCGAGTGCACCCCCACACGCATCAAACAGGTGCATTCAGACAGCACATTTATGCGGTGGACCAGTGACGAATGCAGGACGCAAGCTACCCGCACGCGAGCCTCACCAAATATCGATGATATGCTACACATTTGGGCTTCTCGAGGACGAGAGGCCAAAAGGGGGGGCCAATGTCACAAATAACAGGATCGGGAAGCTAAGCGCAATTGAGATCGCGCCAAGCCGGACCGCGCTAAGCCACTTTAGGCCGTACACAGCCCGCAGGAGAAAAGCATGCTTCTCGCATCCGAGAAGCATCCTCTCCTCATGCTTTGAGTTTTGTCACTACTGTACATAAGGGGATACTTATTACCATGGAATCTATCTATCGCTGAATACTGCCTATCTTTGATAAGGCATCCCTGATAGCCATGTCTAACGCCAACGCTCGCAAGGAAATCAATAACGCTATCATCAACTCCGGCAGCAATGCCATCGGACAGCTTGTCGACACTGCTAACTCGTCTAAGCGCAAGCGCGCGAGAAGGCCGAGAGGAAGAAGGCCGAGAGAGCGAAGTCGGGCGACAAGTAACCTAGCCATGGCCTGCCAACGAGCATTCCCGCACGACCTCTTCGCCAATCCTCTTCCTTCTAGAGCGAGTTCGCAAGCCAACGTTTGATGCACGCATCGCTCAAGCCCTTTACAGGTGCCTTATTGGATCGGAGAAGCCGGCTCCAGAGGCTGACTACGGAGCGCTTTGGTTTCGGGCAGCTAGAAGCAGATTGATCAAGCCTGAGGGTTTGCACCGTTATCTGTCTTCGTGGGCTGAGGCTGGACCGCCTCTCCACCTGCCAACGTTGTTTAGTGGTTTTGCGAGATACCGGACATTCTCTGTATACTTATATATGTAGAAATCATTGCAGGAAAATGAGAAATGAAATAAGTCCCATCTTGCCATTCAGTAATAGTAACAAAAATCGTCAAAGCTCTTTTGGCGTCATATATATTACATCGTCATACATGCGAATAGGCACAAACTATCCCAAGAGCAAAACCCTGATGCAGGCACGTCACTCCAACTTGTCGTGCTCATTTGCCATGTTCTTCACTGCGAAGAGCGCCTATTTGCCGACAATTCCGAAAGGTATGGCTGCGGATTTTGAGACTGCCAGCCATGCGGTTGTGGTATCGGGATCGGTCCTGAGCTTAGCTCTGAGGGGTATCGCATTCCAGTGGTCGCCCAAGACTCACTGCCATTACGGGAAGACTCGGACAAATGTTTACTTATCTGCTCATTCCCCGTTGTGGCTGGAGCTAGATCTGGTGCAGGTGGTTGATTTTGCCTTTTCTTGAAAAAGAGGAACGCGATGAAGATCAGGGCGATGACGAGAGGGATACCGAGCCCGACTGCGACGCCGATGGCTGTCTTGGTCCCCGTGTCCAGCCCGGAAGAGGCTCCAGCGGTGGTCGATGGGATTGTTGAGGATGTGAGTGACAAGGTGATCGAAGACGAGGTAGTGGTAGTAGTAGTTGACGAATCAGGAGTGGAAGTGACGGTTGTTGACGACGTTGATCCCGCGTACGTCACGCTCGGTACACTGTCTGGTGGATAAATGAAGAACCCGTGAGAGTAAAATTTATTCACAAGACCACTGCTGTCGAAGGCGCCCATGATCAAGTAATAGAAAGGATTGGTGTCTGTAGGATACTGAGGGTAATCGTAAGTGCTGACCCTCCACGAAAATCCATGGGAGTCGGATGCACTGAAGGAGGCTATAGTGCATTAGACAACTAACGTCTTCGCCAAGGACGAGGACTCACGTTGAATGGCTTGACAATATGCCGCCCCAAGATTCAAAAGGGTGCAGGTATTGTTGCCATCATTCTTCATCAACACCAGTGTTGCGTTCGACCAGGTCGAGTTAGTGTCAGTCCAGGATATCGCCAGACTCGAGCCAATACCGTAGGATGCCGAATTGGCCACTGGATCTTCTGCCGGAGCTGGAGGAGGGAAGACAAATGACATGGTGGAGAGAACAAAGAACGGAGCTACAGATACGGTATGATCGATGTCCTGCGAAGGAGAATCTCAACTGAGTGGAAAGTCAAAAGTTATACGTACAGAATAGAAGCAGGCTGGGTGTGCGCAGCCGAGTCCGGGAGGAAATTTGAACTATTCCAGGCACTGGAACAGCCGTCGGCCGAAACACTAAGTGACCGTGGCAGCCTCAGCAGGTGAGCCACTACGACAGTGGAGGTACTTCTGTTAGCTCCACTTATGCTGCCCCAGTGACTTTGACTTCTCTTATCAAGCGTTGGGATCATTTGGCTCGGTCTCAGTGCTTGCGCAATGGTAAAGCCATCAGCGACTAAAATCGCCATTTCATTGGCCAAGCCAATCTAGCGTCCTTTGATGGGGTGTTTCAGGCCGTGATGGTCTCACACGCTGTATGCTCCAGGGTCAAGTTCACTAGGAGGGCGTTTAAATGAGCTTGCATGGGGCGTGGAACGGGGAACGAAATTACTGCAAACACTCGCAGCCGAGCGAGCTCAGCCCCTGTGTTCTAGCATCATGCCACTTTCGACAACTTTGAACACGATAAGCTCTGCAGTGAGGTGGAAATGGTCTTGCGACCCACGCTCTCCATCTACCACATGTTCTGCTTGAAATCACTCATGATGAAGGCATTCCGTCTCCTCGATTAGTGAGTCTATCGCTATTCTAGCATCGACCGAACTGCTGACACCAGCACTGTTCAATAGGGGGACAGTGCACGGCGCCCTGTCCAAAAATGACATGCCAGAGATATTCAAAAACCCGTCCACTTGTATCATCATCTAGTGGAGTGTCCAGTAGCCACCGTCGATAGTGCTCATAATCCGACTTGCTGCGCGTGAGAGCTTGTGTTTTCGAAACGGCAAATTGTGAGCAACATGGTTCGGCGATGACTTTCGGTATATCCGTATAGTTACCTCCAAACATGTAAGGCCATGCATCCCTCATGGCGTGTTCGGCTGTACGGTGATCTTCTTGTCGGTCGACTTGTATTTCCGCTGGACAACCCGGGTCGTGAATACATCGCATATTAACATAACCATGCTGTTCGAGGTACTCCAGTCTTAAAGACCTAATCGAGATGACTTGATTGTGATCAACGCTGTCTGTATGCCATGCTGCAGGCCAGCCTTCGAAGTGTGGATGGACGAAGACCATGTAAGACGGAAGCAGGTCGTAGTGATCGATGATAAATGTGAGATATGCCATAGCTTCCCTGCCCTTATTGAGTGGTGGGTGAAGCTTTCCTTTAGTGGGCTCGTCCATATAGTATATTGCTTGCTTCCAACTGGGCAGCCATCTTATCAGCATTGAGGTAGCCACAAAAGTAATACTGGGGTCACGCACTCCGGAAGATGGTAGAACACCCAGTCCACATTGTCGCTGTGGATTTTGGCCATAATCACTGCTTTGTCTTCCGCCTCGGGACCCGAGTAAATCCATGCTTTGGAGTTGTTGCCGGGCTCAAGTCCAAAGTGGAAATCTGGACTTGTCCTGAGAAAGAGACCTAGAGCCATCAAAACCAAGATCGCAGCCACTAAGGCAAAGCGATATTGCAGCCTTAACATCAACATTAGAGTATAAAAGTTGAAATTATCGATATTGGTGCTACTATGGTGGGCAGGGACCGTATCGACATGGTGTAGATGCTAAGAAAGGTGAAGGGGTGTCAAAGTTTTGTCTCGTACAACTGTACTGCAGACCTAAACAAGTGTTCGAATAATTGACTAGCAAGATTCACTTTGGCGAGCTTGTGAACTGAGGGTCTCGGGTGATGCCTGATCTTAGCGGAGGGGCACGGGGAATGTCGGAAGGCTTGGCGTCAGTTTCGGGCGGCTAAATGATTCAGGTCCGTCCCGGTAAGGGGCCGCCCAGACCACCAGACCCCATCTTGCGCGTTTAACGTTGTTGCAGTCGTCTCGCTTTTCCTATTCTCGTTCCCCGTACCTGCGCATCAACAACTGGACGTCCATCCAGGCATGTGTACTCCTTATGTCTTTCGGCGTCTATTTGTGGTCTAGTCGGGCCGATCGACTTGGAAATGTTCGCCCTACTTGTACGGACAGGAAGGAGTACGGAGTACAAAAAGCCCAGCTCAACATATGAGACCCGTGTTCCAACCTTCCACATGAACGCCCTCCTTTCCTGGATTCCAGCGCGGTCCTCTCCTTCACGAGGATTCTATTCAAGCCTCGCGAAGGAAGACATGCTCAAATTGTATTCGAGACGCCTCATACGTGCGTTGCTCATGTCTGCTGTTGTGATAGCGGTGTTTCTGCTACTTCGACCACTTCTCGCTTCATCGACTTCAATTCTCGTTGTCAAAAGCAGCTTTGACTGGTCCACCTACAATTATCACCATCCTCTACAGTCTATTGCTCCTCTTCCATCGGGAAAGCCGCACCTGTTCCCTCCAATCCAGTATAAGTTTCAACCAGAATCAAAATCTGCCGCTATTCGGCGAAAACCCCGCCAGCAAGCGGTGCTGGATGCATTCAAGAAATGTTGGCAAAGCTACAAAACTCATGCTTGGATGAAAGATGAGCTGCAACCCATCTCAGGCAAGAGTAAGGAGACATTTGGAGGATGGGCTGCCACACTAGTCGACTCTCTAGACACACTGTGGATAATGGGGCTGAAAAAAGAATTCCAAGAAGCTGTACGGGCGGTTGCGAGCATTGACTGGGAAATAACGCCAGATACCGCATGCAATATGTTTGAGACCAATATAAGGCATTTAGGTGGCCTACTGGCAGCGTACGACCTGAGTCGCGAGCCCGCTCTATTAGTAAAGGCCGTCGAGCTCGGGGACATGCTCTACGCCGGCTTCGATACTCCAAACCATATGCCTCCTTTTTGGCTCGATTTTCAGAAAGCCAAAACCGGCCAGCTTATTGCAGGCGACCATCAAATATCGGCAGCTTTAGGCTCATTCTCCCTGGAGTTCACCAGACTTTCTCAGATTACCGGAGATCCGAAATACTACGATGCGATCGCCCGGGTGACCTCGGTCTTTCTCAAGCATCAAAACTTCACCCAACTGCCGGGTATGTGGCCAACACACATCAATGCGCGTGATCAGATCTTCTCGGAAAGTGAATTTACTTTAGGAGCCTTAGCGGATTCCCTCTACGAATACTTACCTAAGATGCACTACCTCCTGGGAGGTTTAGAGCCCGCATACGAAAAAGCTTACAGGAGCTCTATGGCGACAGCGATCGAACACTTACTGTTCAGACCAATGCTTCCAAACAATACGAATGTCTTAGTCGCTGGTTCTGCAACCGCCGCATCTGGGAGATCTAACCTAAACCCAGAAGGACAACACTTAAGCTGCTTTGCCGGTGGGATGTTCATTCTAGGAGGAAAATTGTTTTCGCTTCCGGAGCATGTCGACATCGGCGCAAGGTTAACACAAGGTTGCGTCTACGCCTATAATGCATTTCCCACCGGTATCATGCCGGAAATCTTTCGGATGCGGCCTTGTCCATCATTCGAAAGATGCGAATGGGACGCAGATCAGGCTTCGGAAACACTGCCAGAGGGTTTCGCGTCAGTCCCTGATCGATCTTACTCTCTTCGCCCGGAGGCTCTCGAAAGTGTGTTCCTACTGTACCGTACAACCGGCAACGTGGAGCTACAAAATGCAGCATGGAAAATGTTCAAGTCCATCCAGGCCGCCACTGAGACCGAATATGCCAACGCTGCTATTGATGATGTCACAACCAGTGGCAAGCCGTCACAAAGGGATTCAATGGAGGTAAGAACTGCCCAATGACTTTAAATCTCTGGGACCAGCTGAGAATTTCCTAGAGCTTCTGGCTTGCAGAAACGCTGAAATATCTTTACCTTATTTTCTCACCACCCGATCTTATCAGCCTAGATGATTACGTTCTCAATACCGAGGCACATCCTTTGAAACGGCCAAAGTGACAGGCTCATTAACCGTGAGGAAGCCAGGAATCCTCGAAAAAGTGTTTGGTTCTCTCAGAAATAGAAAGCGAGACTTGAAAGTTCGGCCTGATTGCTCGACGGCCTGGAAATATGAACGAGCACGTCCCTAGACTTGTCCGTGGTATTTTTTACTCGCCTGTGGCGGGCATAGGGGGATCTAAGGGCTCAACAAATTTGCTGCCACATAGGATGTCACTCGAAAACCCGGGCTGGAACTGGAACCGAGACGAATACTACCTGCGCAGATGACCAAGGGATTACCTTGGCCTCAGTTGGGTGCCGTGAGCGAGATCGCGAGGATACGATAACCTTTATGGAATGCAGCATGATGGTGGATTAGTTGAAAACTGATTGTATGGAAGAGGACCGGTATGAAGTTGAGTGGGATACGCCATCTTTAGTGAGTAGAAGGTTAATATACCTGGATACTTTCCCCGTCTTCGAGAGACGTCTGCCCTTTAGGCCAGGTCGAATTGGATTACGGGTAGATGCTGAGATTACTTGCAGGGGTCGATTTGGGTTCGACGACGTCGCGAACCTCAACCTGCGTCTTTTCGTAAGAGGTTCAAGGGTTATATATTACTAGAATATTGCTACTATCATTGACTTCGCGGAATTTTCCCTGCAACCTGCGTTGAACTGCAAAATCATGCGCTCCGGGCCCAGTACTTAGATCGACGCCGCCCAGTCCATTGTTAGTGCCACCGCAATTGTAGCGGCAAAAAAGTGCATTCTGCCCCCCTCACAGCCAGGAGGGAGCGCTGGGCGCTATATATACGTAACTGGCCGTGAACGAATGTTGACTGAGAGCCACTAGATTACATTTGCACCTTAACATAAGCCCTTTCGTACATTTCTCTGCTGCGACGAACAACCTGATTAGTCAGCTCCCCCCCGTCATTTTAACTTTGTCACCCGTCGGCAGACCCCTTTAAAGACACAAGCTCTGTCGAGCTAGAACTCACCAATCCTTGATCCACCGCTCACCTCCTTCGACAATATGGGCATCAACAAGCCCATCGAACTCATTCACGACGTCCAGAAGCAGCTCTGGGTCGAGCGAGTTAACCAAGCTCGCGTTGCAGGCCACATAACGAGCTGGATATCATCGTTGTAGGCTGGACTGTAACTTCCTCAACGGTTCGTACAATCTTTGCCAGAAGTTGCGCTTTTGCGACGGTATCACGTGGCTATTCTGTATGCCCATCATAGGTAACGTCTGCGACGAGTACGTCGACGAGAAGATTTGCAGTAGAGGTGGAGGTACTGAGCCTCCTCCGCGATACTAACGTCCCCGTCCCGGGCATCATTACCTGGGGGCTGACAGCGGCTAACCCGCTCGGCCTGGGGCCCTACATTGTGATGGATTTCATCGAAGGTGTCAGCGTCAACACGCTGCTACGGCAGCAGTACAACACCAGATTACTCAGGGATGACATTTACGATGATGATGTTAAATTCCTTTACCGACAGTTCGCCCGCATCCTCCTCCAGCTTTTCCAGATCGACTTTACTGTGCTCGGCAGCCTCCCGACCCCCATGGCACCGGCAGGAACTGTGCAGGCGTCTATCTTGACAGAGCCAATGACATAGGATAGGGATGGCTCTGACATGCGGGATTTTGGCCGGGTGAGAGCATAGGGACCATGCATTGCCGCTTAGGAGTTGGAGAGCATGGAGGGACGAGCTGCAGGGTCTGCCAGGATATGGGTTGTACAAGAGGATGGGTACCTGGTAAACCTTCACTCCGTCTCGTAGGCAACAGCGACGCAAAGGCCCCAGCGGTCTTTACCATCGGCCAGCGCAAAACTCTCGATCTTCCGGTCATTTGAGTACCTTGAGCTGCATGTAGCATCGATTGGGGGTTGTCTGGAGAAATACGTCAGTACGGACTGTTCACGTATGTGGACAACATAGGATCTCGATCACATACCTTGTCTGGCCCCGGGTTGAATGCCTGTGGAAGTCGTGGCCGTAGGCTGGGCACTATTCTCGCAGTCGCTCTCGCGCCAGCACTCCTTGACGGTCCTGCCGAGAGCGGGTGGTGTGGAAGCCTCGCTCCTAAGGCCGGCACTTCCTCCAAACCCTGAGTCGCTCCGTAGAATGATATCGGCGAGCGATGGAAGGTCGCTGATTTCGCTTTCGTGGTCTGTGTCAATCTCGACGTCGTCGCGGTCATTTTTATTGCGTTTCTCGCAATTTTCAATTTTGTCGGTTACGCTGTTGGTGCGGGTTCCAGCAACTTGGATGCCGCGTTTGCCGGGAATATGAGCCATTGGCTCCGAAATCTCTCGTGCCACCAGGTATTCTCGAGCGGTGTCCTGGTCCGAGGTAGTCAGATCCACCAAGGCGACAAAATCCGCATTGCCCACAGACCGTGCCTGTTGAGGAGATCTGGAGCTACGTCTGTCCGACAACTGACCGCAGGGACCGACTGTGGAAGATCGTGGAAAACGCGATTTCTGAAGGACGGTTCATTTGCTCGAGGTTGATACGCGATGAAAGTCGCCATGGCTAGAATGCACTGTTCCGATAAGCATGAAGCAAGATGAAGGGTCTGACAATAGAAAATGGCGAGGGAACTGGTTCCATTCATATAGACGGCCAGCACTGCCTAATGCATCCCAGCTTTCCCTCGTCTCACACGGCGCAGTTCCCAGTCTTTCACGGCTGCAGGGTTTGACTCTGGGCCTTCCCAAAATTCCCTGTTGGTGTATCTGGGCCCGGTGGAGGCCGGGAAAAGGAAGCACTTCACCGCAACGAAGAGGAGCGGGTTCGGGCCAACGGAACATCGTGAGACAGGGGCTGCCATTATCCCATGGGTGACATTGACCTGGCGACGGCGGTCGAGAGAGGGGGGATCGTGTGGGGCGATGGCCCAGGCTCTCCCAGGTTCTGAGGGTTCAAGGATGTTGAGAATATGCCTTCTCGACCGAGACGGTTGCCTTCAGTGGTTCTGAAACGCTACATCCTTCTTCGAAATTGAGGGCCAACCTCACAGGAGAAGCCCCCCCTCCATTGGGATCAGGTACAGCGGCGAATCGATATCTGTGTCTGTCCGAGCGAAGATTGCGTCTCGTGCACCCCACAGTCCCTCCTTCAGAGTGCCGTTCGTCAGCCCCTCTTGGGAACAACCGCTGTACTTCTTCTAACTCAGCCGAGGACCCTCGTTTGTGGTGTGCTGACGTGTCCCTTTCGCCGGCTGGCAATTCTTTCCCTGGGAACCGCCAATGGTTGAAACAGGGAGACTCGGCCCACCTCAAGTGTGTATTTCCCAAGGCAGTGCCGCTGGCAGCAATGCAGGCCACACTGCCGATCACATTGTGCGGTATTTTCGAGATTGGATGTACTAGATGCGGCATTCAGCTTGCTGCGCTGGTGTGTGCTAAAGGACCCGCCGAGGCCCCCGACCACTTTCAATGTCCTGCGAGACGTAGCATCCCGGCCCCGATCCAGCAGCGCCTATGGTTGAGTGCTGACCACAGCGTTGTCGAAGATTTTCGATGGTGCCATTATCGGTGGTGTCGAGCCTAGTTCAGTTGGTGAGGGGGGTTGCAGGTGTAGAACAAAATGCCAGAGGCAGAAACATCACACGGGTTCACCTTCACAGGATGGCGGAAGGGGGACCCGCCGTCTCGCCGGCGCCTACACCCATGTTCGCAGGACCTTGGTCGAGGTGCGGATGATGGACAGGCTCAGCTGAGCCTGCAGGAAGTGCGGCAAGCGAGGTGGTATTCGTCACGGAGGGATTGGCCGCATGAGGGGGGCGAAACGGATCCTTCTCGAAGGGCGTAGGAGGGCCCGCGAAGATCGAGGATTGGGACGCTGATCGAGCGCACTCGGAGGGACGAGGTGGATTTTGGAAGAGCCGGAAAGGGCGCGAAATCAAAGGGAGCCCGAAGCGGCAGGGGAAGAGTTCTGCCGACAGGGCAGATTTTCAAGGAGTCGGGCCAAGAATCATCGATGGGGGGCCTGATGCAGCACAGGGGGAGAGGCCCAGGCGGTGTGCGAAGTGCAAAGCACGGCAGGGCGCGTCAGGGCGAACGGTGGGGAGAAAAGAAACACAGAAAGTTGGAAGGGAAGAGCAGAGTGATGGGAGTGTTCTTATAGCCGTCAAAAGCGGCGGCGCGCCCAGCCCGCGACCATACCCGAAGCGACAGGACCGCCTAAACCGAAGGCGGATTTCCCGGCAACGACTTCTTTACCATCAAAGTATCGACTTTCACCGCACGCAGAAACACCTAACTCAGTACCATCAAGCTCCTGATCTGGTTGCCACCACTGAATACGCCTCTATCGCTCTAAGTTTTCAGGTAGAGCCACTACAACAGCCAAAATGCCTAAATATGAGTCCTTACCTCCCCGCGCATGATCATTTGTACTGACATACGCAGCACTCTTCTGCGACTACTGTGATGTCTACCTCACACATGACTCCATGTCTGTGCGCAAGGCGCATAATGCTGGTCGAAATCACCTGAGAAACGTTGTGGAATATTATCAGCGTACGTATCAACAGCGCAGCACAAGCTAGGCAGTGATTTAACAAGACACAGAGATCGGTCATGAAAAGGCACAGTCGGTTATTGACTCGATCACGTCTTCTTACGCTGCCGAAGGACAAGCAAACCCGATGCTACAACAAGCTGCGCCAGGGTTTCCTCCACCTCTTCCTGGATTCCCAGGTATGTTATTCTCGACTTTGGCCCACGGCTCTTCTCACTGTATTGACGCAGGAATGCCTCCCCCACCATTCGGATTGCCTGGTGCACCGCCGCCAGGTCCAGGGGGGATAGTGCCTCCGCCTGGTGGTCGTGGCATGCCATTTCCACCCTTCCCGCCCACTGGCGCTCCTCCTCCAAACCTCCCCAATGGTTTGCCCTTTCTTCCACCACCTGGAGGATTGCCTCCCAACTTCCAATTTCCTCCTCCAGGGGCGCCAGGCGCTTTCCCACCCCCAGGACAACCAGGTCAGCAAGGGCCGCCAGGCGGTCCAAGTCCCGCACCTACTGGTGGCATCAATCAAAGCGGGCCCCCTCCTCCGCCTGGATTCAATGTGGCGCCGGGTGCAAATGAGAACAGGCGATAAGATAAGAGCATGAGCAGAAACTTGAGATCAGGCGATATCCTCAACGGCCAAGGCACCGATCAAAGACTTGTGACGAAAGACGTGTTGACCTGATACAATCACCTCGATCGTCATCGATATCGCTGACTTTGATCCGTGTTAAGACGACGTCAAGCAACTGGACAGCGAGGCATCAGATCGAATTCCGCTTGGACCTGGCGGCTTACTCAACCTCCGACCCAAAGATGCACTTAGCATGAATATTGGTCAGGTGCCTGCATGTGTTACATGTAGACGTCCGTCATGATCGAAGTCCATGGCCTCACCAAATTGAAAGCCGTTATTTGAAAATGAGCCGACAGCAGTCCACTAGCCGGAGCTTTGTTTGACCCTAGAGAGAGTGGCCCTGGATGAACGGTGGTAACTGCCTTGTCTGGAGAACAAGGTGCTGTTTGGCTGACGAGTGCAACAACATTATCTATGACCCGTAACCGTCTTCTGTTTGTCGCTTCGTGTCACCTCACCTATGGCTTTCGACAACCTCATCGAATTCGCGGAGTATATCATCCCCCCTATTTTTATTGTACTGCTTCTAGCGCTCCTCATCCATTGTATCTTGACCATCCACCGAAACAGTGAGCGTCGCTACTTCCGGTTCGACTCCATCTTATCCGTATCTCAATCTCGGCAGTCTCTCGTCAACCGGAGTGAATCGAATTTTGTGTGAAGGAGATGGCCAAGCGACCAGCGTGTGAGCAAGTCGACCTTCGACGAACCAAAAGCCGCGAAGAAGCACATCAGGCTCAGCACCAGCTGATCGAACACTTTCCCCATCCCTATCTAGAAAATGACAACTCTACCCCCACCTTATTGGGCTCCAGAATAGCAGCAGCACATCAGGTCCGATCAACAAAGGTGCTCGAACGCATTTCATTCGCACGATCCAAAGGCATTCGAGACCGAGCGGCGGAGCAGGTTGAGAAACGCCGACAAAATGAGCGTAGGGCCCAGTCCAGAGCCCGCAAAGACGCAGCCACGCAAGAACGAAAGACACGTCGAGAGGAAGAAGACAGAGCGAAAAGGGAGAAAAGGCAAGAGAGCAGAGACCGAGCGACCCAGAACAAGAAACTCAAGGCAGAAAGAAAAGCACAGGAAAAGCAGGTGCAGGATTACTACGGTATACGAGGCTATGACCCAAGCGCCGGCATGCTTCGCTCTAATCGAGAGAGGGCTGCTCAGCGAACTCCTGTCGGTCAAATACAGACTTCTCAGAACATTGACGAAGCATTGAATTTGAGGCCGCGAAGTAGTCAAACCTGGGGTGTAGAATATGGGAAACCGAAAGAGTCAGGGATTGGACGACACTCTACATCGTGATGGCGGTGACAGCAAGAGGCTCGATACAGTGAGAGTGATTTTCGGGCTGTCCTTTTCCGCTTCCTAGGATATCAGCACCCTTTGTATTTGGAAACAATCTTGTCCGGCATCTAATTCCTCGTTGATCATACTGATCATGTCTAGTTTTTTCGTCTGTTGCTCCTCGCCTCAATACTAGCTACCACGCGCCATTTTACATGGACGGCCAAAGTACAGTCAAGGGACAATGAAATCTACATGAGATTGGGAGAAGGAGCACCGTTTCGTGTAAGCTCGTTTAAATCATCTTTGACCCCCGTGGGCCAGTTCTCACCAGCTAGCACTCGCTCCAATTCCACTTTAGCTCCACAGAAGCATATATGAACAGGGCACCATGACTAGTGGACATGCGCCGACAAGAAGCCTCGATGCAAGTGCCCTTCACGCCACAAGGATCCTGAACAAGACAGGACGTGATGCTTACAGTGTCCTCATTTTGTTTTCCAACACAAGGCAGCACACGAGCTATAATAATAAGCACGGACCTCAGTAGTTCCTCTCAGTCTAGAAAGAGGACTAGTTAAATAGATGTGCTTTAGAAAGTAGATTCTGCGTGACTTACCGATTTTCTTATGGTCAGCAATCTTGGAGCAGTCACTGTTAGTTGACAGATGTCTGCGCAGTATGATGAAATGGTTATCCAGTCGTGGAGAGACTTAAGGACCATCCGAGAGCCGTCGACGATTCCTTGTAATATCCAACAGGTGGAAATAAACCTTAACTTGCCGTCGAGTCGATCAATGTATTGCATTCGCCGGTTGTAGCTTCGAATGGCACCTCCTTGGGCCGTCCTGAGGACTTTGTGCCTCGTATCGAACAGTGTCGAAATATAACATGAGCAAGAGAACAGAGCTTCGGAAGTTTGACGTCCTTCAAGAAACGCCCGACCGGTGAGTGCGACATCAATCGATCTGCCAGCCCATTTCGTCGGCAACCACGTCCTCCAGGCCACGTTTGTACTTTCCTTCTCCGGACCTTAGCGGTGGCCACTGTTTCATCTTCCTCCGTAGATCCTCGACGCTCGCTATCGAGGCCGCGAGATTGTCGAGTTTGCCGTAGATTACGTACTCCTGTTCAGCCAGGGCCTCGGCCAACTCGACTTGATGGTTGTGCAGAAGCTCGGGGTTTGGGACCACCACGATGGGCACGCTGACGCGAAGGGCGTCAAGGACGGATCCTGAACCGGCGTGGCTGATGACCATTCCCTCATCCTGGGAAGATTGGCCCTTGGCTGCCACCATCTCCCGTCGCAGGCCTTCTTTCTTGAACCCAAAGCCCGTGATCTCAATGCCGTCGTCGAACCCGGCTTCCTTTAGAATCTTGCATCGCTCCTGGAATATCTTCTCGCCTTCGTGGTCGCCGTACTGGATTCGGAGTTGTGTGTATCCCGCGTCACGGAGCGGGTTGATGAACGCGGGTTCCAGAACGGCGCGGACCAGACCGTTGAAGGGAGCTGTTGCGCCGATGGTCACAAAGCATCGCCTCCCAGACGGCTTGCTGGATGATTTCGGATCGCCCATTATCCAAGACACAAAATTGACGGATATGACATGGTAGGAAGAGTGAGGGCGACGATGCTGAGGGTGGAGACAAGCGTGACAAGACATGATGGAGACTTCGGTGGATCATGTCATATATATACGTATTTACGGTCGACTGTAAAGTTGACAAAACGCAAAATGTGAATTTTGGGGAAATTTATCTCAAGCTCCGTTGGCTCCCCCAATGCGCAGGCTCACAAGATCACAAAAATCACCAAGGGACCCAGCAACAATGGCCACCACGGCGCGGCACCTGTGTCGTACATTGTTCCAAGTGAGTCGGCGGATACCTGTGAAGAGAAAATGTCAAGCAGCACAATGCCAGCTCTTCACGCAACGACACAATGTCACAAGCACGAGCGCACAATTTCGCGAGCTTTCGACTACCTTGCCGCGCCGCGCAGATAAACCCCAAAGAACCAGTGCCTTTGACCAGGACGGAGACGAGGAGGAAGAAGATGATCAAGGCTTGGACTTCAGCCGACCTCCTGAAGGGGGCTACAAAGTCCCCTCGACCCCCATCACCCTCGCTGACCTCGACGCCGACGAACTCGCCGATTTCCAAATGCTCTCGCCCAAGGACCAAGAGTCATACCTCGCACTGCAGAATCACTACGCCGCCGAATTCGAAGAAGCTGGGATCAATTTCAATGCCGACCCCAACGCCCAAGGTCCGCTGATGGAGAGGCTCGTCGACAGTGTAGACCGCGAGATCGGCAAGGAAGTCGAGCCCCTGGATTTCCCAGATGTTCCCTTGAAGAACAGCGAGGTGGGCTACTGGGCATTGGATGAAGAGGACGACGAATTCACCCAAGTGGAAGATGGCGATGAGGAGTGGGATGAGAGTGCCATTTCGAGTGTTGCGCACAACGAGTTTGACCTACACAGAGAAGTCAGGCAGTATACGCGGGTGATTGCGTGGGATATGCCCTTGTTACAACGCAAGTCTCCCTCTGGTCAGTCCGATCTCATCATGACACTCTTACTAACTTGGGTCTTGCAGAGTTCGCAAAACCGTTCACACCCCCTACGGAAGCCACGCCTCTCCGGTTCCGCTACACCACGTACATGGGCGAACACCACCCGGCGGCCCGCAAAGTGGTTGTGCAATTCTGCTCGAAAGACCTGCCGAACCTCACCGAGAAACAGCGCCTCAAACTGCTCAAGCTGGTCGGCCCGCGCTACAACCCGGACACGGACGTGGTCAAGATGTCGTGCGAGACCTACGAGGCTCCCGCGCAGAACAAGCGGTACCTGGGCGACCTGGTCAAGAAGCTGCTGGACGAGGCGCGCAATGGGAAAGATTCGTTCGACGACGTCCCCCTCGACCTGAGACACCACAAGCCGCAGCGGAAGATCGAGTTTCCAGAGACTTGGAAGTTGAAGCCCTCACGGGTCAGGGAGCTGTTGGTCGCAAGACAGGAGCAGAGGTTGTTGTCGTCGGGCGAGGAACAATCCTCGACACGGCAGGGCGGGCCAGTCCTCGACGGCAAGGAGCTCGTCCACGAATATGTTCGTGCGTTGGGCAGGCCGGCAGTGCCCTTGAGATAATAGCCTTCCTCGTCTTTTGTATAAACAAGTGGATACAATACGTTGTAGACGTTCCGAATCATTCTTAAACGGCACATTTGTAACACCCTTCCTCGGAGATGGAGGATCTGAACGTGCTCGTTTCTCGGAGACGTGAAGTCGAATATTCGTGTGTCTGTCTGTATTCACACCTACTCGATGGGGTGTTCTCACCGAGATGAAAGCAGGAAAAAGAAAAGAAAAAAGTATCTCTGAAGCAAATTCTAAGCACTGCAATACACTTGATGAAGAAGAAGAAACCCGATGTCGATGTTTGGTTTCAAGTTTGACTTCGCCCACCCATTTCCAGGCCGTCAAAGCCCTTTGAGAATCCCCCAGCCTTGTTTCTCGAGGGGAAGATTTGATTGTGCCATGTCTCTATCCATTCCAGCACGTAGGCACGCAGTACCCGGCGCCCAGAAACGCCCTTGACCTGCGCGAGAAAAAAAGAAGAGAGGAGAAAAGAAAAAAAAAGCACACTGTTCATTTCCTTGCTGATGCCCATGCTCATGCGCATGCCCGTGAGTTTCTCGCTTGTTTATCCTGCCGTCGCTGTCATTGACGTCGTCAATGCTGTCGTCGTTGTGACCGTCGTCGAAGTAGAAGTAGTAGTAAAAATCTCTGTGTTGTTGTTGTTGTAGTTGTTATTGGTAGTGTCGTTGATGATGATCATCGTTCACAGGCCGTTGTTGTTCGAGGGACGCCAGTTCAGGATACTTCGCTGTTTTCCCTGCTGCTTCTTCCGGTTGGTATATTTGCCGCCGCCGCCACGGCTTCGTCTCTTCCCGTCTTCAACCATGGTGCTTGATCCACCAGCAGGACTCGCAGGGGTCGGGGTGCTAGGGGCAGGAGCTGGGATAGCAGCTGGAACAGCAACAACCGGAACGGCAGGGACCACAACAGCAGGAGCCGCTACAGTAGTAGCAGTCGTGGTAGCAGGGGTGGTAGCTGAGGCAGTGGTCGGCGCAGCATCAGTGACGGCGTCATCGGTGACGGTGGCAACGGGGGCGACAGCGGGAGCAGCATCAGGGACAGGAGTGGCAGGCGTGGGAGCAGGAGCTCCAGTCGGGACGGCAGCAGCAGGGATCGCAGCATCAGCGACAACAGCCGGGACGACCTTGTCAACCTCCTTGGCGCTCTCAGCCTCTCCGCCCTTGGCCTTGTGGCCAACGTCCAAGGCCGCCTCTCTCGCGGCTTTTTGTTCCTCCTCCCAGCCGGCCTGCTCCTTCTCGCGGATCCTCTCCATCTCCTCGTCCATCATGTCGTCAAGATCGCTATCCAAGTCGGCGGCAAAGGCCGCGGCCAGGTGCACGTCGCGGCGCTCCCTCTCCTCGGCCCTGGCCTTTGCGATGTCCGCCGCGGTCGGACCGGCCGATGGTCGCGGGCGTCTGTCGCCGTATTGTTGTCGGCGGGCCCTCGTGTTGCCGTTGATGTGCGAGGCAATGATGCGCTTGGTGGCTTCCGCGTTCAGACTGGCGCGCTTGACGGGCGGCGCGGGCGGTGCGGGCGCCGGGGCCGGCACGCGCTTGTTGCCGTCGAGGATGCCGTAGCTGAGACCGTTGCACCCGCCATTGACGCGCAGGCTGCCCACATTGTACGCCTTGCGGTACCAGTCTGGGAGGTCGCGGAAGCCAAGCGCCTCGAGGACCTCGAGCTTCAGTGGCATCACGTGCTTGTACATGCAGCCCTGCTGCGCAAAGTTGCACTCGCCGTGGCGCATCCAGTATGAGCAGTACACTTTCTGACCCGATGGTGGCATGTCCGATTCGGGGTTGGCGAGGGTACTGTTGCTGGAGAGGACGGGCGCAGCCTTGGATCGCCATTCCAGAGGGGTCAAGGGTGCTGTGGTCGTGACCGGGGGTACGTTTGTAGCAGCACTGGTGGGCGGAGTGGTGGCTTGAGATGACTTGATTTCCTCTTCGGTCGAGACATTGGAAGATGAGGCAGTGTTGCTAGGCGCGGTCATAGGCTCATTTCCAGCGATGTCGGCAGCTTTCGACATGGTGGGAGTTGACAGAGTGGTCGAGCGCAGCAAAGGGGCGTAGACAGGGGAATTCACCTTTGACGTATTCGAGATCGGGGTCTCAGACGGACGAATTGGGTGCCAGGGGATTGGTTTGGTGTTATTCATGCTTTCGATAACATAGTACTCGTGTCGCGCGTCCCGGACGCCAACGCCGGTCATGCCAGCGGTGTCAAAGGCACTGAGACTTCGAGGAACGCCCTCAACCTGGACATGAATGGGCAGCTCGTCCATGGCGATCAGTGGGACCATGGCGCCATTCTGACGAGTGACAAAGAACTCGGGCCTGAGAGGCTTCCGGGTCGCCATTTCGATCTGTTGGTGAAAGTCTCTCTTTGGCAAGTTGACTGAGATTGACTGAGGTTGACAGGGGCGAGGAGGACTGGGCCTTCAAGGTACAGGTTGACGTCTGTTGGGTTGGCGTGAGTATATAACACAGCCAAAGCGAAAAAGATTTTTTGATAACCAAGCACAAGCAAAAAAGAGTTCGTGTGCAGAATGTCTGTGGAGAACAAGAGAAGAATGAAAGAGATTTATAGCAGAGGTGATCAGTCGCAGATATTCACCGCACTGTAGTGAACGCAACGATGTCATCGGCGCGACATTGTCGGCGTAACGCTGTGAATGGTGAATAGTGGTGCGAAGGGAACAATAGAAATCAGCAATACTGACGGTGAAGAACAATTGCAGAATAGATCTGCTAACCGCAATACGACGATCAGCGCGGCCAAGGTGGAAGGATGTGCAAGCAATGAATTCGATGTAGAGAAGATATAGCACACTCCAATAGAGTAGAACCGTGAGTGAGTGACAAGATCTGAAGGGTATCGTGGCGGCGGTTCAGTGATATTGAATACTAGGCATTATATACCTAGTTTGGATCAGAGCAATCGCGAGTTGGACATCCAACAAACGGTTAAGCCTGAGCAATCTAGCATGTTCAGCTCCTGTTTGTGTGCGTTGTGTGCATGCCGCGTCTGGGTTGTGGTTTCAAGTTGCACACGAGGCGGCTACGCCTAGCGACACGACCAAACAGCGGGCGATTGCATGTTAGACAAGGACACAAGGAAACAATGAAATGATGGACCATTCAAAGTCAAATTCCCGAACACACCAGCGCCGGCGTCGGCGCCAGTATCAGTATGAGCATCAGCACCATAGAACATGCGACAAGGTCGTTCACTTCGTCGGTATTCATCTTACCGTCAGGCCATGATACATACGGCGAGCCGCATCTCTTCGGCTGTTTTTGAATCGGGAACATACCGACACAATCGCCAATGCACCCCTTCACAAAAGGAAGCTGACTTTCATGTCAAAGAAACACAAAAAGACAGTGAGTTCGTTTCCTTTCTCCTTTTATATCTTCGTGTCGTTCTTTTAATGGATGGATGACGTTGATTTTAGGCAGACGACATGATAAGCAACGAGACGGCCGGCTTCGGTGGAGCAGACATCGCAGGAAATCCTTGCGCTTGCTCCTTTTTCTGGCCATCCATAGTGGACTTGTGATTGACAGGCTGGACAAGGCTTTCGGATACAGGGACCAACGAGAAGGAAGAGTCAGTGCATGTTGAGGACGGACAAAGATAGTGATCGATGCCGCCAAAATCCTACGGCTAAACCATAAGGGCCAACTCCGATAAATCCGGATGACTAGCGCCCCGGGCATTCTGAGACACGGATTACTTGAGACTCCTGGTCCGAGACGTCAGGCGTCCCTTTTGACTACCGTAGTTAGTGTGAGCCTTAGCGCTCAGGCGCGCCCAGCCTCTAGCCATACCTAGTAAGTCATGCCTAGCGAGCAGCTTTCCTTTGCGTCTGGCCCGGCGGTTCTAGGTACTTGGGACAGTCCCTAGGACACCCGCAAACGCCCTGCATCGACCACCTGGCAGACCCTCAAGCACCGCGAAGCTCACTCACGGCCCAACCACAACAACCACTCTCGGGGTCTCGCATCTTATTCCCCTGTCCGATCTCTCGCTCCTGTCGCTCCCGTTTTACCCAGCAGGCCAGTCACCGTACACAAACCAAGTGCCTGCGCCTCACCTTTCCCCGAGTGACCGCTTGAACCAACCTGCTGCCTTCAAACCCTTTGTAACCTGACCTCCTCCCTCATCCGTCAAACGACCATCCGACTCGACTATCCTCCACCCTCCCGAGGTTGAGTTCCATCACTCTCGTTTTTGATCTCATTTCCCTTTTCTTCATTTTTGCGTCCAGCATCTGCCGTCGATACGCGTCCGAATCCTCTGATTTCCTCGCGATACCATGGCCACCGAGGCCTCGATCGCCCTGACAAACCGCTCTCTCCGGACCATTCGTACTGTGTGTAACCACCTAACCTCCAACCTTTCTCGGATCACCAGATTGACCTTGGATAGGAACTTGAATTTCTCGCCGATACCTCCATCATCTCCCCTGAACAGCTCTCCTCCATCCTAGCCCAACTACCGGCCCAGACGCCGTTACATGCTCCTTTACACGCTCCCGTCAATGGCACCTCCAACACTCCTGTTGAGCAATTCTCAAGCATGAGTCTGAAAGAGGGATATGCTCCCGTACCTACACCTGCGCCTCTTCCTCCTCCAGCCTACGTTCCACCTCCAATTCTGTCAATTGCATCCGCCCTATACGCATACACACCCACCGATGCTGGAGACCTAGCGCTCCAACAAGGGGATCGGATACAAGTATTGGAACACATGAATAATGATTGTACGTGACGCTCCTTTGAGACATGTTATTTATCTCGATGCTAATGGAAATCTCAGGGTGGAGAGGTCGCAATGAAAGAACCAATCTAGAAGGAATTTTCCCTCGCAGCTACGTCAATGTCATTGAGGACCGACGGCCACCGATGGTTCACTCACAGTCAACCGAGTATGGAAATCTACCCCTTCAGGTCAGCCAGTCAGGGTCTTCCGGCGGTGGTCCGGATGGTCGGAAATACAGCAAGCTCGAAGAGCAAGGCAAGAAATTCGGCAAGAAAATGGGCAATGCTGCCATCTTTGGAGCAGGGGCTACAATTGGCAGCAACATTGTCAACGGCATTTTCTAATGATGGTATTCACGTTCCGATGCTTGATATTTCAGCCTTTGACTTGCAAAGGCTATGGCTATGAACTTTCGTTAGAGTGTCCTCCACAGAGCGGAAGAGCGCACAAGCACTGCAACTGGAGCGAATAATGGGCATTATCTTGAGAAAAAAGAAAATTGGAATCACTTGTTGATGGAGACAGGTGCATGGGCAAACGGCGTCGAAATGGGAGGAAATGGCGTTGATCGTCGGTGTTCGGCTACCGACTTCTTTGGCTACGCTGATTGTCAACAAAAGGAATGGAAAGGGGGCAACGCTCCAACAACCACCCATATTATATTCTCTTTTGTCCTTTCGACAGGTCTTCACAGGCCATAACATTCTCCAGCACAATGAGCTTGGCGATTTTGCAATTCAGGAGACGGGCTAGAGTGGTTTCACACAAGTGCCCTTGGGACTTGAGAGAGCGAGCAAGGACAGAATGAACTGCAGATCTCATTTTACAGGCCTGACAGGTTCAACCTGATTGATATGCAGACACATTTCCCGGTACTGCACATATTGTACTTTCGAGAGGTCTGGTATGAAATCAAGAATTCCATATCCATAGTTGTTTTGTCGCCCAGACTCTGATCCGTGCTGTTCTCTCCCTCTCAGGACACTGCAGAGACTGTCCTTTTGGAGATTTGTGATGCTCGGTCATTAATCCCCAGAGAATATCGGCGTTCCTGAACCGAATCTTGGGAAATGGGATTCGCTTGCCCAGAGCCGCGCCTAAACGATATGCCGACCTCGATCTCGGTAACTGAGCTCCAGGTCGCTCTGGCCAAAAATCCATCAAGAAGTTGTATATCCATCATGGACGCTGCGAGAGCCGGGTCTTCATCCTCGAGATAAGTCGAGAGCAACCTGAGCTTCTGCCCTTACCCTCGATGTGGTCTGTTGTCCGAATATATTTGTTCCCAAAGTCGAAATCTCTTTCAGTCGTCTTCTCTTTGTGGTGGCGGTCCGCTTGCCCTGATCATCTTTTCAATCATCTGTCCTCTCACGATCTCCTTGTTCTCTCCTAATCCGAGGGCCATGTAGGCAAGCAGAGGAGGGTGACCGACATAACTGGCGAGGGAGTCCCGGACGATGTTCTGGCTCCATTCGTAGCGGGTGGTGTCGGCGTGACCCGTGCCCACGTATTTGGCCTGGAGAGATTCGAGTTGTTGGAGAGTGCGCAGTTTATCGGCCATGGTGAGGGACAGAGGGCAGGTGGGGAAAAATGTGAGGCAGAGAGATGTCCGACAGGTAAAGTAATTGCTATTACTCGTTGTGCTTGTTGTGCTTGGTGTCAAGATGCTTGTGTCGAAGGACTCTAACGCCGGAAAACGACAGCCGATCCGGGTTACTACTCGTAGGAGGCAAGCGATATCGGAGCCCTTGCCGCGCTCGCTCCCATATTACTCACTTTTTAATTATTCCGCCGCCAACCACACCTGCGCCCTTACAAAACACCCCACGTCCCAGAGATGTCCCGTCGAATCAGAGTTGTACCAATTCCGCCTATGTTCATCCTCGGCTGTTGGTCCATCTCGTCATCGGCTGTGCAATCACAAGATGCGTTATCCGATGGAGCCTCATGAGGGGTGCCCACCAGAGCAACAGCAAGCCGAGCCATCGGCGCCCTTCGCATCGTGCAAACTTGGTGAATTGTCGAGGTAACGGCCCAGAATTGCTCTCAAGGTTGACCTGAACTTGTCGGTCTGCTCACCCGGACCTCACATCGTCTTATATACCTGCGCCTCCCGTTCCTTTATCTAGCTTTTCTCCCCTACCCACATGAATTCTCTCCGGATCGCGCTGGTGGGCAGCGCTGGAAGATCCACTCTCTCGAACCGGTCTCTATATTTTCCTTCCTCCTTTCTCTCATCCAAAATGGCGCCCTCAGCATCGAACAGACTCGCCGCCGAAACACGCAGACTGGGAACGCCGCAGAGCCAAAATCGCACCATGTCCTCAGGCCCAGCAAAGATCAAGGTCAAGAATCCCGTCGTGGAACTCGACGGCGATGAAATGACACGGATAATCTGGCAAGACATCAAGGACAAGTTCATCTACCCGTACCTGGACATTGATTTGAAGTACTACGACTTGGGCTTGCCCTACAGAGATGAGACGGACGATCAAGTCACGGTGGACGCTGCCGAGGCCATCAAGAAGTATTCTGTGGGTGTCAAGTGTGCGACGATCACTCCAGATGAGGCCAGAGTTGAAGAATTTCACTTGAAGAAAAGTATGATACCGAACCCCTCCGCAGACTCCTGATCTGTTACTAAATGTCCTGGCAGTGTGGCTCTCTCCTAATGGTACGATCCGGAATATTCTTGGTGGCACCGTCTTCCGCGAGCCCATCGTGATCCCTCGAATTCCTCGCCTCGTTCCCGGGTGGGAGCAGCCGATCATCATTGGTCGTCACGCGTTTGGGGATCAATATCGCGCCAAGGACACAGTCTATCGTGAAGAAGGCACGCTCGAGATGGTATTCACACCCAAAAGTGGAGGCGCAGCGCAAAAGATCAAGGTCTTTGATTTCCCCGCAACCGGCGGCGTTGCCCAGACACAGTACAACACCGACGATTCGATCAGAGGATTCGCGCATGCGAGTTTCAAATTCGCTCTTGACCGAGGCTATCCCCTCTACATGTCTACCAAGAACACGATTCTGAAGGCTTATGACGGACGTTTCAAGGATATATTCCAAGAGATCTACGAGAAGGACTATGCCAAAGAATTTGAGGCCAAGAAGATCTGGTACGAACATCGCCTGATCGATGATATGGTTGCGCAGATGATCAAGAGCACTGGAGGCTTTGTGATTGCCATGAAGAACTACGACGGAGATGTACAGAGCGATATTGTGGCTCAGGGCTTTGGGTCATTGGGCTTGATGACCAGCCAGCTGATTACCCCTGATGGTTTGACGTTTGAGAGCGAGGCTGCACACGGCACTGTTACACGGCACTACAGAGAGCATCAGAAGGGAAGAGAGACCAGCACTAACCCAATTGCCAGCATTTTCGCATGGACCAGAGGATTAGTCAAGCGCGGACAACTTGACGAGACTCCGGAGTTGGTGACTTGGGCGGAGAATCTGGAGAAGGCTGTCATCCAGACGGTCAATGACGACGGAATCATGACCAAGGATCTTGCTTTGGCATGTGGCCGCAAGGACCGTGAAGCGTGGGTTACCACGACTCAATTCATGGAGGCCATCGAGAGACGGTTCAAGAAGAATCTGGAGTCTGAGGGTTTGTGAGACGTGGCCAAGGCATAAAAGCCCGGGCGGAAATGCTGTGGTACAACAGCTGGCGGATCCGCAAAGTCGATAGAGCACATTGCAGCGAAAAGGCGACAACAAAGACGGAATGCATAGACGACCAAAGACGGCGAAAAAGACATGTGGCCAGCAATCCAATGCAGGAGTCGGCATAGAGTCTGTCTGATCTATCAATCAATCAGTTTTTCCGTTGCGAGGGTTTGAACTTTGGATAGGAAGAGACGCATCTATCTAGCATTTCAGTCAGTACTTGCTTGTCACAACGAGTCGATAGATTAAACCCAATAAAGTCAACTAAAATCAAATATCAAGAACAATTTTCAAAATACCCAGAATATCCACATTCATATCATCCTCAAAGTGCACTACCTCCATAAATCCACTATTGTTTTCCCCCCAAAAGTGTGAAGATTTATTTCTATGTCTACTTTGTTTCTGTTTGCTGCAAGTCTTGTTCTCTCGCTCTGCGCTGTTCGCATTATGCGCGAATCGAGTGGTTTCTCGGCGCGTGGGAAGTCAAGACGTACGTACAGGGGCGGTGTGTACACCTTGCCATGAAAGACTGTGGACGTGGTGAAGTCAACCTTCAGAAGGGGTGGGAGGAGTCGTCCTTTTGCTCTTGCTTCACTCTTATCCTTTTTCGTTCCTGATACGATAGATGACAAAGTCACTGACAGATATCACGGTACGAGGGAAGGTCTGATGTGAATTTGTGGAATGGTCATCACAATAATTCCACGAGTCTATTTTTTGTTACTCCTTGGACCAGAGCCATAAAGCCATAATCTAACCGAGCCGAACCAAACAGAACCTCTCTATCAATCACACCCCTTCTGGCAAGGGCAAACCCGGAACATTAGACAGACAAACAAGCAAGCAAGCAGACAGACGCCTGACTAGGCGATGGGCCGTGACAATAAGCCTTCTCGTACAGGGTTCCTTCTCGAACAGCAGCACAACCACAGTTACCTCCTCCAGCAGGTGAGCCGATGTGCTCTATAAGATACTCCATGAGAAGGGCCGTGCGGTGGAACGTCCTTGTCAACGCTTGTTCTCGCCCTTTTTGTCCCCTTCTGTCCTCTCGAGATTCCACCTCTTCAATTCCTCGCCCTTGATGTCGATGTCGTCTCTCCACTCCCGAATTCTGGCACTTGTCATGTTTTTCTACTTTTTTTTTGAAGGTCTGGGTGCCCCAATGTCATTGCCCGTCAATTGAATCTTCATACAATGTTCAAGTTTCTGAATGGCATTCTTGTCGTAGAGCGCCTTGCCGCTCTCAATATCTTTCAACAGCGCCTCTTTGACTCCTGACTTGGCGGCAAGGTCCTTTTGAGGCATCCCTCTGCCCTGGGCATCCTTGTTCTGGTTCCGCCAGTTGATGATGGCCCGTCCTACTGCGAGCGGGACGGTTTTGGGTTTTATAATGTCGTCGGAACGGTCGACCTTGGTCAAGTGTTGGCCCTCGACAGTCGATTTCTATAATGTCTGGGTGTTAGTCCTGATTTATCTTGTCTCTAACAGCCTTAAGAAAGGAGTTGCCACATACGCTGTTGATGCCTCCATACTTCTTTTCTGTTGCAACGACAGCTCCGGAACGTTTGGCTGCGTTGAGAGCAGAGGAACCTCTCACAACCCGTTCACGGTCGACGCCTCCACTGCCAGGGCCTCTGACTTTGCTACCGATACGAGTGACGGTATCCCAGTCATTGTCAGCCATGGTGTTGGAACGTTCAGGTACTATAGGGTGCTTTCTTAGGCAGCAAGTGCTTCGGTCGACGAACTATACAGAGAACAGCAATCAGAGCAGTCGGTATACCCTATACAAGTGAGCAGTCGAGGTGTATGACCAGCTGTGAGAAGGATTGATTGACCTTGTTGATTATAGAGGAGAAAATGAGTCGAGTTGACAATCTAGAAGTTGCCATTTCCGCCGCCGTCATTTCATTTGCGCAGGCTGAGCTGCGGCTAGAGCCAGATTGAGTCATCGTTCTTGCGCCACGGGCCAAGACCCGGACTTTGTCCGTCCTCCGCCCAGCCTGCGTCTAGGATCCTGAGATTCTGGCATTCTGGGCGGCAAGGCTTGCATCAAAAGTCTGAGCCAACGCCTAGTTTCAGTCCAATCGCCACATATGGAAAACTGCAATCAGCCTGAGCGGCTGCAACTAGGCTCCTCGGCCAGCAATATGAAAGTGAGATATCACAGGCAGCGTTTAGGCGTTGGCTAGGAATCCCTGGTCTTTGCCGCCGAGTTCAGCGCCATCGTCTCACGCCGGCCTGCTCTCAGCCGAGCAAGAGTCTCAGATCATTCAAGCGAGCAATTCGTTAGATCGTGCCATCAGACGATCAGCATGGGTGGTCACCGCACTTATCCTCCACCCCTGCGAGCCCTGGTAGGTGAGCACCCTCAGGTGAGTACATAGCCCCTGCACGACCTGAAACCGCAGGCCAGGAAGAAACGGCTTGCGAAGCGGCTTTGACTGCTAATCCTGCATGAATCCGCGTCTCTCATGGCCTGGGACTTCGCGCAAACAACTCCATGATGGCATTAAAGAATGCCCACAGTCGCTACAGCCACCCTTCCTGGCAAAAGTTGACCCATATACTCTCCCTGACTTCTGTTTCTTTGCTTGTGTACCTGTTTTCCATTGTAAGCATATCACACTTCCATTGCAAGTTTCCTGGTTTCCAAAAGGGTTTCGAAGATGCCGTCCTACGCTGGCTTTCAGCTTGCGTTGGAGCTTTCAAATGTCCTACCCGTCAAGGAGGTTACTGCTTTCGCGTATACAGCGCTGCTCAACCTAGCTCGAGAGCTTAGCAATTCAGGTTCTGATATATTTGTTGAGGCCGATCTGGCAAGCATTTTCGGAAGGAGCCCAATTTCTCGAGAGCTCGAAAGAGCATTCAAGGACAAAGTCCACATCAGTACGGTGACAACATTGCACGAGGGCTCAGAAATCCAACTTCGAACGGGCCCTGGCCCAACTGTCATTCGAGCGTTTCAGGATTCACGATATTTCGCAACCATAGTCACTCTATCAGCATTGAGCTACTTTACCCCGAGAGATGACCTTGCCAGAATGATCGCCAACGGGATGGCAAAACGAGCCGAAGCTAAGATACCAGGGGCCTCTATCCCTCCTGCATATGAAGGCATTGAAAAGACGTTGGCAGCTTGCTCTACGCAGTGTGGCGAATTCCAGTGGGCGCCATATCGAGCAGAGATTGAGAAGCGGCTTCGAGCATCAATGCAAGATTATAGTTGGAGCCCTTATTACACTCGTCTCACCCCTGCGGTGCTTCTGGGAGCTATGGACTTCCTTTATGCTATCAAACACCTGCCATCACACAGAATAGTCACAGTCTCGTCTCAAGCAGGGTTCATCCCTCTTACCATATGGGCGCATTACATTTTGTGCCTCAATGTTGTCATCACTGGTCTCTCTGGGGAAGACGTTGTCTTCGGGGATGCCGAGGAACCTCATGTTTTCATCCGTTGGAGGCGCTCTGACCTTCCTGATAGAGAAGAACTGAACTGGAATCTGGAGGGGAACGAAGAGGGTCCTGAAATCTGCCTGCATGAGACAGACATGACCATCCTTCTGACTACTAAACCAGAAGATCACGATTCTGACAGCCTATACTCGGCTGAGAGGCATACTTTGGCAGGCTATGGCACAGTCTTCCTGCGTCGCAGCTTGAATGTCGATGTGATCCTCAGCGATGATGACAGTATCTACGTGGAGTTGGTAGGTTTGATAGTTGGATTCGCAGTCGCCGCTTCGCAGAGAATGGCCCGGGAGCTGCCTGATCCTGTCCCGCAAGAGTCCGGCGAAGTGGAGGAAACTGGGCAAATTATCCAACTGGAATCATGGAGAATCATAGACGCTGCCAAATTGCTCTTCGCTGGCATCACTATGGACCCGATTCTTTGCTGGAACTACGCCAAGTTTTATTCAGAACAGCGCTTATCGGAGCATACACTACCTGCAACCTTTGATTCCTACTTTGCAGGAGTCCCGAGACACCGCCCCGGGTTCTCTCCGGCAGATCGTATGATACGACTCATCGAAAGCGCCACAAAACATGTCTTGATCTTCGCTCATGTCGTGGAGGTAGACAAATGCGGGGATATGCCAATAATCCTGACGGACGACGTTACCTCCTTCACGAACCTTATTCGGGACGTACGGGAGGGGAATGATCATCCGGGCCTGGTTAGATGGGATGAGGCATTCGACGGAGTATCTAAACTTCTCTCATCTGCCGAATTCTTTTCCAGGGATGAGAGGCGTCGTTCTCTCTCCACCGAATCCCTCTGCAGCGACTTTGGATGGTCTGTGCTCCTGAACACGTATGCGGATCTCGACCCAGGTGATATCCGGCCTGAGCTCGTCCGTATCCGAAAAGGGACACCCACGCATTCGGAAACAGAAGAGCGCAAGATGCGAATTGTCGATGGGAATGCTGTCGAAAGGAGTGCCAAGTCATACGTCTATCCAGTCGAGATAGGACCAGAGTACACTCCCCGCACATTCGCAAACTGCACTTCCAAGAAGGAGTACTATACTACTCTATCATACGAATTCCAAAGTATCCTTTTCATTTCGTTCGAGTCGACTCGTGAGTGGCAGGATCATGGCGGTTCCAAATATTTCCAGCAAAATCTAGCCTATGGCAAGATGGCCAAGTATCTGTTCAATACCCATCTCATTCCAGAGTGCAGCCACGTCAACAAGAGTCATTGGGAGCAGGCAAAGAAGACCAAGCTTGGCCCAGATGCGGTTGCAATACTCAGTGGATACGAAGAAATGGAGGACGGGATATCCATGCCGCAGAGGATAGTCGTCACATTGACGAGGGGTGATCGGTACCTCCGCTGGCACGCGATCATATACTTGGCCCCCGCGGTGTCCTACTCGAGCCGGAAGATAGCGCTACGGCCGAATTCATGTTGCGAGCCCTGTGCCCTTGACTTTGTGGCTTCGCAACCAGGTAAGTGGTACCTCATTCTGTAGTACAGGATCGAGTGTCTACGGGCAAGTTGTGGGTTTGGACAAGTATGGAAGTCTGGTTTGAGAAAGGCAGCCGTCAAACTTTCAGCGTTATGTAGCCGCAAATCTCCTCGGGCTGAGTTTGGATTATCATTTGTTTTGTTTTTTTTTTGTTTTTTTTTGGCTTTTGCAGTCTGGTCGTTGAGGTAATGGTATACAAGTATTGTCAGAAAAACAAAAACAACCTTTTCAGGATAGACATGCCATTTCAGACGCTACACCACGGCAGGACTGCTGGTTGTCACGCTCTGTCGTGGAATGGCCTTCCCAAAATAGTCGAGCATAGCATCGAGGCGAGATTTGTATGAGACCACGTACGAACTCTCCCAAATTTCCCGACAACTTGAGATACAAACCTGCTCGTGTTTTCCGATATGTATGCTGCTTCGAGGCGTCGGGCGTTGCAGCTCGTGCATAATACAACGAACGCCTCCCGCCGAGCGGAAGATACGAGCACGCCGACTCCCCGTGCAGATTTACAATCCTCGCCCTGACCAGTAGGTGTCTCACAATCTGAATTGACAAGCAAGACTATGGCCTTGTCGACGTACGTGCGAAAAGATGAATGGGAATTACTCGACTTGTGGAGAACGAAGAACAAAGAGTATATCCAAATGCGGCGCTAGTGCCTCGAGGGTCATGCTCCCAAACAGGAAATTCTTTATGGGAGCCAATCACAGCGGGTGGCCTGAGATGACTAACGACGCTGGTGGCTTGGACAGTGAGCACGACGAGTACGACGGAGGTATTGACAGCCAGCCAGCCATCCGTCACGTCAGAAGCATGAGCAACGAAGAGGCGCCTCTTTTCTCGTAATCAAGTTCGTGCCTTCCATTCCAGGTTGACGTGCTTGTCAAGCATGGCAGAATGTGAGGGTTTTACAGCGGTGGGTAGTTCGCTTAGTTGGATTGTTAGGAGGAGAGGGAAACAGGGAGGAGGATTCAGAGGATATATAAGAGACGGCATTTCCGCGTCTTCAGAAATACAGTTCCGGTTCAGCATCGATCAAATACTTGAGATTCTGTGAAAACAGTCTGCCTGATTCCTCCGTTTTACCAACAAGAAAACACTCAGACACCGAACCAAAACACCCCCATCAACCATGACCACCTACGAAACCGCCGAGGACAAATTCGTCACCATCCACGGGATCAAGCACGCCTACCGCCAGTTCGGCCAGACCAGCGGCACGCCGTTGTTCCTCCACGTCCACTTCCGCGGCAACATGGACTGGTGGGACCCGGTCTTCGTCAACGACCTCGCGGCCCGGCGGCCGATCCTGCTGGTCGACAACACGGGCGTGGGCCGCAGCGAGGGCGAAGTCGGGACCATGTTCGCCGCGTGGGCGCAGACCATCATCGACGTGGCGGCCGCGCTGGAGATTCCCAAGCTCGACGTCCTAGGTTTCTCCATGGGCGGCTTCGTCGCGCAGCGCATGGCGTTGCAGGCACCGAGCCTGGTGCGTCGCCTGGTCGTGGCCGGCGCGGGTCCTTCGGCCGGCGAGGGCGTCGTGGGCGGCGACCCGAAACACTTCACCGAGGTCGCCAGCGCAGCCACGCCCGGCGAGTCAAACCTGGGCCTGATGCACACGTTCTTCTCGCCGTCGGCGGCGAAACAGGCCCTGGCTGCGTCGTGGATCGAGCGCATGGAGAAGTCTCGCGCGCACCGCGCCCCCCTGCTCGACGCGGCGGGCACTTCGCGACAGATCGCCGCCGTGCAGCGCTGGTTCTCCGGGGAGTTCCGCGACGAGGGCGCGTTCGACCAGCTGGACCAGCTCGCCGCGACACCCACGCTCGTGGCCAACGGCTCAAACGACCTGCTCGTCCCCACGGAGAACAGCATCGTGCTGTGGCGGCGTCTCACCGCCGGCGGGTGCGACGCCTCCCTGCACCTGTACCCGGACTCGGGCCACGGGTTTTTGGACGAGTACAACACCCATTTTGCGCGGTTGGTCAATGATTTCCTGGACGAGTAGTCACGACGCAGACAGACATGGGACAGATGGGTGCTTGGGAGGAGAAATCTGAAAAAGGAAAGGAAAGGGATGAGAGTGGAAGACGGGGGGTGAGTGAGTGAGTGAGTGAGTAGTGAGATGAGAGATGAGAGATTTGATATGTATTCATGTGCTAGTATGTGTCTCGAAAGGGGAATTTGATAGATTGCTGCCTTTTATCCAACTACTTCAAACCGATGATATGCTCTATCATCTTATCAAAATCTTCTTCCTGATGGGCTTGTCCCATCCGGTATGAGCCATATTTCTGCTCCTCCACTCGCCAAAGAGTTATGGAAACCCCCTGTGCGATAACCTTGACTGACGCCTCTTATCTCATTCACCTCAACTTCGCGTCTTCTGCCCAGATGCTGAAATGAGCTAATTCCCGATCCCTCGACTTCACAATGCATTCGCCATAGGGCCCAGTTCCTCCTTGTACCTCCATTATCTTCAATCACGTGTGGTTCCATGTCCGCGGCTAAAGTCAACCAGAACGGCGCCCGTGGACTTGAGTCATTGGACCTCGATCAGAGAGCTCCCTGGACAACAGATATACCCTCGAGGTAGCAGAGGATGCGGACGGTACTACCAGTCCTCAAACTCTTCCTTGTACCGTCCAAGTACCAGTTCATATTCGGGTATCATATGCCCGAAAGCGAGGCCAAGGCGGAAAAGAAGCTTCCTGCATGTCGGGTCCGACCGTGAAGCGCTTTGGGAGCTTGACTTGGGGATGGTCTCCGTGTTGACGTGGCTGCCACCGCCACGGACACAAAAAAGTCTTGATCAACTCGAGATCCCAGAGCGTTCGCTGAGACCGTTGTTGATCGTCGTGATGCTCAAACCCCGGGGTGTCGTCAAACACATAGCTCCAGCGGATGTTCTCGATTCCCGGCACACACCCAAAACTGTATATCGTCCTGGCGAGTGCAAAGGACTGCCGGCGAATGCAAGTGATCGAAGCCCGGGATCTGGCACGGGCGGTAAAGGTCGTGTAGGCCACGTCGAGTTTCGTCAGAGACTTGTGGACCATTGTGCACGCCTCGTCGAGGGACTCGTGCAGACTGGGGGCAAATGTCACCACGATCTCGTTCCACATGGTCAGAGGCAACTGAAGTACTTTCCCCAGGGGGGAGTTGAGAATATCGTCGGGTGTCTTCAAGGCGTGGCACTGGCAGTGCTTCCCGCTTTTGATGTCGATGCGCAGAGGAACACGCTTTGTGAAGAACAGGATCAGGCTCCTGATGGTGCGGGAGGTTTGTAGGAGAGATTTGATGGTCAGGGGACAGATGCCGCCGTCCGAGTCGGTGGATATCACCACTCCGTGTTTGGGGATCAAGTAGCTCAATACATGTAAGAGGATCTCGTCTGGGAGGTGGTATCTTGGTGAATAATTGTCGTGACTGGCTTGGTAATATTCTCTCTGATAATGATCATTAAGAGGAGGTGCCTGGGCGTGCATTGCGAGAGAAGGGGGAGAGGACATGATGACATCCATTGTCGGCTTCAGGTGAGAGTAGGTTGAGAGTGATCTGAAGACAGTTCGAGTGACTTGGTGTTTATTCACCTTGTGGAATCGGGAGTACTGTAGAGAGACAAGTTGACTGATCAGAGACGTCTTGGGCATACCAACCCTCCGTGGTCTGGTCATTCTTAAATAATGAGATCGCATCGAGTCCAGAACGGGAGTCAAGGTCCTCGAGGACCTGCAAAACCCGCCCATTTTCAGGGCGGCACTTTGGGTAAGGCGACGGCCCAGGAAACCCGGTGTTGAAAGCACCAACATAGCGGATTCGCGAAACGGTAACCAGTCATATTGTTGCGGTACCAACTGGCTCGAGTCGTTGGGTGCGGATGGTGTTGATGGTTCCAAAGGGTCGAAGTGGGTGGAAGTTTGGTTCAGGGGCAGATGGTGGATTTCTGCGGACAAAGGCTGGAGTCCATTATTTTCGGCGAGGACCTCGATCTCTCTCCTATACATGGTACAGTCTCGCCCCTCAAACATGGCCGCAACTCAGACAGATACTTCACGTTCCTCACATAGGCATAGAATAATACCTCGTGAAAGATCTGCATCAGCATCAGCATCGACATGGATATGAACCTCAGCATGCAGACCAGGACTATCCCTTCCTCAAACGACACCGGGATGGATGACGTCGGGGGCATCACAAAGTCATGCAGGCTGGGTATATACCAGCACCTCCCGGATGAAATTCTGCTGCAAATCGTCTTGAACTTGATCCCTCGCGACGGCCTCTGTGTGTCGAATCACCCGGACCACAACTCGGATTTCGCCACGATCGCATCCCTTTTGCGCGTCAACCGAGCGATTCACGATGAGATGCTGCGTCGCATATTCAGCCTCCCATTACATGTTCACATTCTGAGCGGTGGCTACTGTCGTTGCCTCTTCGGGACGCCGCCTTTCCCCAAGACGCGCTTGGGCAGGGTCACCGTCCTCCAACTGAGAAGATTCTCCGAGGTCGTGGTGACGTTTGTGCCTCAGGTACTCACGGCGCCGTGCGGGAACCGGATCCAGACGCCATGGCCCGTCGATTCGCTCACGGGCGAGAGAGGCGCGCGGAAGTTCCGACTCGACATACGGTGCCTCGCGCGACAGTCTGACGACCTCGCAGAAGCGTTGGTTAGACACCCCGACGTCCGCTCTGAAGCCTCCTCTCGCTTCAGGTTCAGGTTCGATGGGTCCAAGGGGGTCGACGAAGCGAACAGGTTGAGGGAAATACCTCTGTGGGAGATCGAGCCGCTCCAGGTGATGCTGGGCAAGTGGCGTCGGGTTGCTACTCCGGTGGGTACAGTTCCGCGACATCAGATAGACATGCCCGAGAGTCTCGTGACTGGAGTCGTTGCGGTCTTCATGCTGCACGAAGGTCGTCTCACGAGTGTGCGTCCTCTAGACGAGTGCTCGAATGCCGTCGCTCGCTGCTGGAAGGGTTTCTGGCTAGGCTTCAGATTTGAGCTACCTCTACACATTGACGAGAGACCGTGGCGCTCGCGCTTATTCAACCGTCGCTTCATCATTACCACGAGAAGCAGGACCGGGGCGAGTGGGGATGAGCCGCAGCTTGAAGCGGAAGCCTTTGTCCAAGGAACGCTGTCGTTCTGATCGGAGCCACCGACGTCAACAACCAGCCAGGAGGATCATGCACTGGCGAATTGTCTTGGAAGGGGGGTTTTTTTGGTCAGGCCGCAAAGGGAGTGTCCCTCTGAAACTCCCACTGACCAGCACCCGATGTTCCAGGGATGCGTCGATAGCCCAAGACTCCTTGGATGAATGCAAGGACCAGGGTCACGTTCACGACGGCCTGCCTTTGATGGTAGTCGAAAGGCTCAATGGTCAACGAGTCGCGAAACAGGCCGAGGCCAAAGTTCGACTCGTTCAGCTTGATACGCAAGTACGGGATCTGAGGGTGTCGTTTAGCCGAGCTGCTCAGACGAAAGAGCGAAAGAGAATATGGGTTTTCCAGAGGAATAGCTTGCACACTGACCTTGCGGACGTCTTGAGGATCCGTCTTGATCCACCGCTGCAAATACTCTGCCAATATCCGCAGACTGGGTTCATGCGTGCCGTTGACTGTTAGCTTACTCTGGCCTCCCGAGGACACCAGCATCACGTAGGGGCTTGTGGTGCGGAAGAGGATCTCCGGTCTAGGCAGCGTCTCCAGTGCGGGTAAGACATCGGTGCTCGGTTCCAGTGGAGCTGGATATGGCACAACGCGGTTCGCCGTCGTGTTGATGCCAGTGCTTTTGGTTGTATCTGCAACCGATTCCAGTTCTGCCCAGTCTTCGTCATCTTCCCGAATTTCTGGGCGCTGGTTCTCTGCTTCCGGCTTGTTGGATGGGGTAGAGGAGTCGGAATTTGGAGGGCCAAACATGGACTCAAAATCTTCTGCGAAAGCCGGGCCAGCCGTCTGAAGTGTGGTCTGTAGCCTGGCGGTTTTGGGCTGCGAGATGGTAAACGATGTTGATTTCGGCCCTAACCAGGCTGTCCGGACTCTGGAGTCATCGGCAGCAACCTGAGCCCGTCGTACATACATGCTCAGCCATCATCTTCCAACCATCGTCCCGTGTCTGTCTTGAAGGTCGCACTGAGGGAAGAACGTACTTGGATAGAAAACTTGACAGCATTGACCGTTTTGAGGTTTTCGAGAAAGACTTCGGTCCAGGATGCAAACCGCGCGTCTTCTAGCCTCTTGCCTAGAGTATCGCACCACGTCTCCACCAGTTTCGCGATGGTGGGGACGAACGTCGTCTTGTCGGGGCACACAGGCTCCAACTCCACCCACAGCATGTGCCATTCTGCCGTGCACGCGACCCGGTAGCCTATGATGTCTTTGAGAGAGGCGATGGATCTCTGCACGGCGCTGTCCTCGTTGTCGAAGAGGTCGCGGATGTCTTTTCGGATTTGCAGGGGTCTGCGATGGACGGTCAGATTTGATCATCCAGACACTCTGTCGGCACGAGGTGGATGAGTATACGGACGTCCTTGTAAACTTACAATTGAGCCATAGTCTGCAGTATGGGAGAGGGAAGATGCTATCCGAGGGAAGTTGTTTGGTGTATTGATTCAGTAGACATCTCGCCCACTTTTTATGCGGAGGGCCGATCAGATAGAAAATGCCTTGGTTCAATCTGGACAGGCAAGCAGGGAAGCCAAAAAAGGGGGTGAGGGACAAATTCAGCCTTGCGCCCGTTTTACCGAATGCGGACGGCGGTGGATTTTCTGGATTCTTGGCTCTGGAACTCGTCGTCTCCACCTCTTTACCGAATCCTCTTTGGTGTGTTCCTTGTAGTTCTTGCTGTGAAAGACCAGGATCTGTTCTTATATCAATTGACTGTATAGAACTTGTAATCTCCCTAAACAGACCACCCTCCCCGGGGCAAAAACTATCAGGTTCTCACCACGTCCCCGTCCTTCGTACCACCGCAAATTTGGACCCCACGAAAAGGCCCCAAACTCACGAGCTCTGTATCCGCCGTGCCGCCTCGCCGTCTCGACTAGCTCTCTCCCCAAACTCGCCGAGGCTCGCTCGCTTCTGGGCGACCTTGGCTAGCGCAGCACGGCTCCGAGTGGTTGGGTGCAAGAAACCTCAAACGGTCGGAGTCCACCCTACGCCACAGGGGAAGACCACCTTCACTATCGCAGCCATACGATGGTACGAGGTTCACTCTCCCCAATCTCTGACCGGTTCGTCAAGAAACAAGCCACCAAGAAGGCTGTTCCCGAGCGTACATGTAATACCAGAGAGTATAAAGGGGCGATGACCCCTCTCGCCGTGGGTGAAATGAAAGGTCCTCAATCTAGAGCAATACCATTTCCGCACAACAATAATGCCTCTCAAAGCACCTGCTGACAAGCTGCCGCTGGCGGTCCGCAAGAATGGTAACGAACGACACAATCCCAAGGCCCTAAGCTACACAAGCTCCTAACTGACCAATTGTGCAGTGCGGGACGAGTGGGAGAGCAAGAAGCCCGAGATCGAGGCCCGGATCTCGAAGACTCTCGGGGAGGCATGGACGGTGACGACGAACCCCAACCAGCTGTACATGTACACGAACGACGAGTCGTACAAGTCCCGCATCGGCAATATCATCATGTGGTAAGTTATAGCTCTCTGCGGTCTTTGCCAGCTCGTACTCCATTCCACCATCGAAGAAATGACGTCTCTTGGACGATGATCGGGAGCTCGTCAATTGAAAAAAAAAAAAAAAAAAAAAAAAAAAAAAAAAAAAAAAAACACCAGACTAAAGTGAGCCTCGTGCTTCGCAAACAGGTACATGGAACCGTTCTGCTCGAACCTCGAATCCTTCGTGGCCACATACGGCGACGACGGGAAATCCGAGCTCAACACACTCTGCCCCAAGCACCAGGTGGAACTGGCGCCGCAGGAGGACGACACAAAGTTCACGTACGGCGGCCTTCAGATCAAGGACGGCGTGCTCAGGCTGCTGTTCGCCGAAGGATACCTGGCTGCCAACGTCAGCGACGTGAGCCGGGACTTTAACGACGCTCTGACAAAGGCCGCCGCGGCAGGTGGTGGCGCCGGCAGCAGCGGTAGCGGCAGCAGCTCCGCGTTCAACATCAACGCGCGACAGTCGGTGCGCGAGTCGTACGACCCGAAGATCGGCGACCTCCAACAAGCCATCGGCTCGCTGGTCGGCGTGCCGGACATCCTCCTCAACGCCAACTTCGAGGCCAACGCGGCCGTCCTCGCCGCCGCGGGCGCCCAGGTCCGCGCCGACTGGGACCGGATCCTCGGCCGCGTCAGCCTCGACTACTTCGACGGGCTCAAGTACCAGCTCGAGCGCGCCGGGTTCAAGGACGACGACATGCTCCAAGAGGGGTTCCAGGAGGCCGTCACAAAGCGCGAGATCCTGCTGCGTGTGGTCGACAAGCTGCAGAAGGGCACATACCACGAGGTTCTGGTCGAGGACGGCGTGCTCGTCATCCAAGTAAGTTGAGAGAGATCTCCCTTTCCCTGCTTCTCCCATCACCCTTCTCACCTGTCCCTTTTTTTTTTTTTGCTCTCTCCGGCCCATGGGCGATTTATAGCCTCAAGAACACGCCGTGTAACTAATCAAACGTGTTGAAACTGCAGACCACGCCAGGATACCTCTGGAGCAACGTGTCCGATGTTGGCAGCGAGATCTTGGACATTTTGTGAACCGATTCCCACCCCTTTTGTACCTTTTGTAGGCATGGAAAAGTTTCCACGTATGCCGTCTATGGACATGGACATGGACATGGATTTGGGTCTTATCGATGTCCTCTTCATACCTCCTCCGGTACATCCATCTAAACAATATTGAACATGGTTTAATCGGAAAGAATCGAGAGGATCCCAAGTAAACCCTACTTCATGTAGTCCAGTCTGTCCGTATTAGTGAAAAAGAAGAGGGAGGAAAAGAAAGTCAAGCGTTATTGCTGCGGTGCTTTTCACGTCATGCCATAGCATACACACATAGCCTTACCCATGCACGGTCGTGGCGCGGGATACAAAGACTCACATTGTACATATACGTCCCATGAAGATCGCCTGCGAGGATACATATATCTCTACATGACATTGTATATGGCTGAGCCAGTGATAAATCGTGGAAGACGATCCGATATCTGATATGACCGCAGCTAAATCAATATATCGTCTCTGCAACAAAAAAGGAGGTTCAGTACCCAACATCACAATGCTGCCCCCGGCAAACCCGTTCTCATCACGCGGTGAATAGAAACACCGCTTAAACCATGGTTATTGTCCCATTCTCCACGCCCTCGAGGTACTCTCTCAGCCCGACGCCCCAGCGGCTGTGGCCAACAGTGGGGAGGTCCATGTCCGCAGGGCAGGACGGGATGGGCTGCCATTTCGAGCGGTCATTCGGGTCACTGTCTGATGTCTGATTTGCGTTCTCTGTCCCTTTTTCACCTTCCCTGCTGTCATTGTCAGGCAGGTTCAGCTTGGGTTCTTCGTGGTTACCACCCTCTCCCGATCCGCCGTGCCGCTTATCCTTGCTCAAAACGGATCTTTTGGCGTTCCTCGATCTGTCTGCGTCATCACGGTCATCGTCGAGAGGAACCTTGTCGACCTTGATAAGCACCGGAATCACAGCTCCGGTGCCCAGACTGAACTGCCGGTGGTTCAACACCCTCAACAGAGCACCAATCGCACCAGAGTGACTGGTTATGCTGAGCCTCTCTTTGCCACCAATCAGCTCGTGCTGGTCCATGAGACTGTCCATGAAGGCTCTTAGGCGCTCTGTCAATGCGGTGTCTGGTTCCCGTCGGTCCGGATCCCAGAATTCATCTGTTTCTGTCAAATACTGGTCCAGGTCGACGTTGAAGGCCGGGAACCGTTGGCGGATGCGTGAAACATCGCTCCGTCTGTCGCACGTGTGGATGCCGGTACCTTCCCTCAACTTCTCCATCACGATGGCCTCCAACTTGGCTCCACCTGGTAGTATGCCATCAAATGTGATGTCGGCGGTCTCCATCGCCCTATCGAGGGGACTCGCCAGCCACAGTTCCGGCAAGCTCATCTTCTGCTCGGCGAGTTGGCTTTTCCAGAACGAATTGACCTCCCTCGCTTGTCTCTGTCCTTCCTTTGACAGATGAGCGTCGCTCCAGGTCATTATCCCGTCCGGGTCGCCATCCAGTGCTGAATAGTGGCAGTCCCACGCCTCGCCACCATAGTAGCGCTCGGCGATGTTGTGGTAGCCGTTTCCATGCCGGCCGAGGAACAGAAGTAGATACCTCGCCGAGGACCCGTGGCGTTTTCTATTTCTCCTGTCGTCATCTCCGTCGTCGTCGTCGTCCTGCGCAGCGCGGTTCAATGAAGAAATATGATGCTCGAATCTCTGCCACACCGTCATTTCCCGTCCGTTGTCAGGGAGCAACTCGTCCGAGTTGTACTCCCGGTCGATGAGGCCAAAGTTTGTGGCCATGAAGTCGAAATCTGCTGCGACCGTTGAGGGATCGTCTTGGAGGAAGTACCCATCCAGTGTTGTGTATTTGTAGGCATATCTTGTCTGCGCCGAGGGCCGCGCGGGTTCCTTCTCTTGTCCAATGTCCTCCTTTCCATCATCACCACCGGCGCCGCCTCCGTTATCGTTGTGAATGTCGAGCACGCCCTGGCCGGAGGACGAGAGGAGGGAGACGCCCATGTCGCTCATTTCAAGCAGGCCGCACACGGCGAGGGAGACGGTGAGGAACAGGAGGATTTGTCTGGGACAGGGTTACCGCGTTAGCCTTGTCCGCCACGCAACCTGATAATGTCTTGTAGCTTCTTTCTTGGGATTGAAGGAAGGCGAACAAGATGCCCGCAGAGAGGTATCCACAACTGACTTACATGGCGGTGGTGGTGCGGCAGAGTCGAGTGGGCCCTCTCCACCGGCGATGCACTTTGCGGTGTGGTGAGTAGTATATCATCCTGGTCGGGGTGTCACAGACATGTCATGTTGGCGGACCCTTTTTGCAAAAGGTCTGAGTGCGAATGGTAGTTTCACATATAGGATGCACCAACGATTCAGAAGAAAGCGGAGCGGAGCGGGCAATGGGCATCAGATCCAGGCTGCGGTGGAGGTGAGGATTATTAGCCGATCAGCATTTGGCGGGGAATTGCACCACACCTGACAAAACCTCATCTGGCTTGCACAGGGCGTCAATAAACCCGACATAGAAGCAGTCTGAACTCCGGATGTAGATTTGACAGGCAAGGCTTCAATTTAATCTAGAGAGTTGATGCGCCTTGAGGGGATAGAAGCGACAACCTGAGTCTCGAAATCTTACAGGGAACTAAATAGAGGTGGTACATTGTTATTGTCCAGGGCCCTCATCGTCTCACATCACTTGGGCGTCTATTCGCCTAGTCACGAAACCGAGCTTACCCTTACAAGCAAGACTGCGTCTACCTAGCAGCCTACCGATTCCACAGGTAACCATTTCGAGTACCCTGTGCGGTAGGTAAACACCTAGGGCCCCGACCAGCCGCAGCTGAACCAGCAAGTGACCCCTTAAACTTCATTAGCCTCGTCAAGAGCATCTGTCATTTTGTCTGCAACATCCAGCCTCCGGCCTCATCGTCCATATCTGACACCGAGACTTCAGAGGCATCAAAAAACTCACATTTTTTATCTCCCATACAATGGCTGAACGGCACCATATCACCTTGATTAACGTCTCACATTACTGCTAATGAGGTGATAAAGGCAGCGACAAGGGGCCGAATCTTATTCTGGGCCCTGGATTGAATGATCGCCGCTCCATCGTGAAGCGGACGAGCGATACCACTGGCAGTTGGCAGTCCTTCGGTGGCAGTAGCGGTGATTGTCGGCAACGGGGGAGCAGGCAGAATGGAGACATCTGGGTAGGTGGCGGGTGGATTGGTCTCATTGACCAGCAGGGAGTACATGACTTCCAGTGCCGAGAGCTGTTGACCCAGCCCGGTTGTACCATCCCACCCCTCAATGTACCACTTACTGCCACATGTATTGTTCTCTCCACCTCCCGTGCAAGATGCTGCTGCGCCTTGAGCGGAGGCTCGAAGCACCTCACCAATTCGACCTGCCGAGAAAGGCGCCAACTTCGACGTCGCGGCCATCCACCGAATGAGATAGGCCTTCATTGACAGCTGGTCGACATTGCAGGACATGGAGAGCTCACATTGCGCCTCGAACAGGATGTTGGATGCATTGCGAAAGGGACTGATGAAAGTATTGGTTGAGTCGAGAAGGCCTGCGGTCCGTTCGATCCAAGGCGAAGATCCGTTGGTGTAGTTCTGCAGTACTGCCGCGCCGTACAAGAAGACGCCAACATTGTAAGTCCATTGATGGTGGTCAATGCCGGTACAGTTGATAGTTTCATCAGTCCCGTCAAAGACATTGTAGATATTGTCCACCAAGCCGATTGCCGATGCCCAATCCCAGATCGTGTCCGCCCAAAGAACATATGTTTGGTTGCCTGTAAACCTGGCCAGCCTCGCCGAGAGCTGAAAGAATGCGCCGTTGGAGACGCTGTTCTTGTAGTAGTAGCCTGCGTTCTGAGGATTGAACTGCCATTTCAACCCTCCGTTGCATCTTGAAGAATTCCAGCGCGTAACATAATCTTCCCAAGCATTGCTGACAATCCGCACCCAGGATGGATAGGGAGCAGGCAGTTGAGGGAAGGAATATTCGGCCGCGGACATGGCCACAAAGACCCAGAAGGCTTGGTCATCGTTTCCGGTGTCGAAGGCTTCGGCAGGAACGTTGAAGTCATATTTGGGACCAAGTTGAGCAATGAGTCCTTCCTGCGTGAGATTGACATAGCTGTCGTCGCCGGTATAATGCCAGTATTCCATCAACCCACCCCATGCGCCGCCACTCTCCCACCAGTAGTAGGGCGGAAAGGGCCATTTTCCTGGAGTCCCCCCGGATTGATTGCCGTTATACAGGTCAATTACGCCTCGAGCGGTCAGAGCGGCCGCCTCCAGAATGGATTCTATCCATAGTCAGCAGAGAGAAGTGGAATGGATGAGACTTCAATCAGACTCACGTGTATCATCAACATCAAGGACGATACTAGCAACATCCCGTGCCAGGAAAGAAAGGAGACCGATGGCGACAAGAATCAAGAATTGAAGCATTCTGCACGATGTGTAGGGTGTTTACTGAGAGATGAGATGGACTGCCCGAACTTGATAGCGCCGACCAGAAGACAACTCAATGAGAGACACGAAAGACAACAGTTACAAACGCCTGGTAGCTTGGTCTGCTGAAGGAGTGACACGAAAAAAATCTCGAAAGAATCCAAATCAAAGTGAATCAACCTGCTCGGGCGGTAGTAGAAATTGCCTGCGCTTCCATTTCTGATTTGAAAACAGTCAGGTTCACATTGGATGGCACCGCCTTATCGCCCAGTTGTATCTTGGTCTCATCTTTGCGTCTGCATGTCCTTTCTCTGCAAAATCCATTATTGACTTCAGATATAAGGTAGACATCGTCAAAACTGTTGAATCTTGCCACAGAACTCAGGACTTTTCTTTGGAGTCGATACTATTGCGCAATACAACACCCGCCGCGTTTGATAATTGGTAGGGATTTTTGCTGCAGGGTTCACACATTGACACACATCATAGGGTGTGTGCCAGAGAGATCGTCCTGCACGTTGCCGCTGCACGGCATCTTTCCTCCTCCACGATTCGAATTCAGTTGTCGCAATCGAGATCAATCTCGCAGATTCACCGAGCCAAAGCATCTCTTCCTTGTCTACATCTCCATCTTGCCAATAGTTTCATTTTATTGCAATACCGTTGGTGCAGGCGTGGTATCTTGGAGTCGGACGTCAAGAATAACATGTGGGTGATTCAGTGTCATCAGCCGTCAGGACATACATGATCAAATTGTGCATATGCAGGGAGGAACTCAACCTCGTCCCACCCAGTGAACCAAACAAAATGCTGCACTGCGCAGAGCGGGGATTTTAGCAGGTTCAGGACTGCGTCTGGACCCCGTTTGTGGCTTCTTTGTAGCATCTAGAAGCGAGCCTCCTCCGCAGGCGTTACAATAGCTGACCGCAGCAAAACATTTTGGCTCTTTCCATGGAGATATGGGTTCATCCGGCCTACTCCAACGTAACCCGAGATAGAAATCACTCCACGCTTCGGAAGTTTTCCGCCTATCCCAGGCAAGTTTACACAAAGCTCGGCTTTATTCAGCAAACCTTAGCAGCGTCCAACTAGGTCTCACTTGAACAGGGACAAATGCCGATTTGGGAAAACGCACAAACCACTGCAGATGGGCTTTCCCATCTAGTGATATAAAGCCGTCGGTCTTGGATCGCTGAAGATGTTCAACTCAAACTTTACGCTCTTTGTCATTTGAGTTGGTTGCATCAAGAAGATGGTTGATCTTCAGCTCTCTCCTGAGCAATTGGGACTCCGAAATGCTGTCAAGGGCTGGGCAAAGGCGAACCTCACTACAGCACGCTCGGTATATGAGGGTAAAGGTGCCTCACCGGGACAATGGCAGGAACGCTTCCGCTCGACGCAGCCGATATATGCCGAAGCAGTCAAGGCTGGACTCATCAAGGCTCAAATTCCGAAAGAGCTTGGTGGTGGAGGTGGTCCATTGATAGAGGCAGCTTTGGTTGTCGAGGAGTTTTATGCCGTCGAAACTAGCGCCTCTATAAACATCCTTGGGACTGGCCTTGGCTTGACCCCGTTGGTCATGGCGGGGAGCCCAAGTCAACATGAGAAGTTCTTCAAACCATTTTTGGACGGCACCGGTACTCCAATGGCCAGTCTGGTCTTTTCTGAACCTGAGGGTAGCGCCAATTTCGCCGAGGCTGGAGCACCCGGTTTTCAGACCACCGCACATGTTGAAGGGGACCAATATGTTATCAGTGGTGAAAAGGTAAGTGCCCTGAATTCAGAGGAGAGCCTTGCTGATGGGGACGAAGATCTGGGCAACAAACTGTTCCGGGTGGGATGATCGAGGCGCCGACGTTCAGTGCGTCGTATGCCGTGTTATTGGATCTGCCCCAGCTGACGACGTCCGTGGCCAGACGGCCATCATTATCGTGACCAAACAAGACATTGCGGCCAATGACCCAAGTGCCTATCAGGTTCTCAACCATCCTCAAACGATTGGGCACACAGCTGTTAATGGGCCGCATATCCGGTTCAAGGACTTGCGGGTGCCAAAATCAAACTTGCTCGCACCTCCTGGCAAGGGTGCTGATGTGGTCGAAATGACCTTTACCGCGTCGGCAGTTCTCGTGGGTGCAATGGGCGTGGGCATCATGCGGCAAACCTTTGATCGAGCTTTAGCCTGGGCCAAAGCTGAGAAGCGAGGGTCAACGGAGACGATGATCCAAAAGCAGAGCGTGGCAGACTTGTTGATCAAGATCAAAACTCGATGTGAAGCCACTCGAGCTCTCGTCTGGAAGGCAGCGCATTGTTTCGGTCGGACGCGACACGGAGCCGAGCTGTGCTACGAAGCCAAGATTTTTGGTTCGGAGAGCGCAGTAGAGTCAGTGATGGATGCGATCAGTCTAGTTGGTATTTCTGCATATTCGACCAAGCAGCCATTCGGGCACCTGCTGAACGACGCATTGGCTTTGCCGATTTTCGACGGTGGTAATGTCGGCGTTCGGAGGAGACAGATTGAAAGGATCTTTGCCAGCGAGGGATACGATGCATGGGAGACAACATTCGGATCGGAGCAGTGAGTTGGCACTATACATGGAAACCGGATCATGGACGAGGTACCGAGTAGGTAGAGGGAATCACCGACGGTAGTCGATGTGTAAGTGAATGAGTGCGGAATGAGGCGTATGCCTCCGAATGCCTGGATTAGCGTCGGCGAGCAGCGCATGCACTCCACATAGCTTTTTCAAATGACACGTCAAGGTGCCATGAATGACATAATCACTTGGCATTATTCGAGTGTGACGAGCAACCGAGGAACCTCGCACGCCTCGTCACCTCGCCTCGCTCGCAAGCGTCAAGGCCTGACCAGTTCCACCAACGCTGTAGCTGCCCTAGGCTTGTTTCAAATTATTCCTCAGTCCGAGGGACAAGCTCTATCACAATCGCTCGAGTCCGAGGGATAAGGTCAATCGCAATCACAGTGACAACCACCCTCTGCGACACACACCTCCTTATGCAGATATCGCATCGTCCACTTACCGCCTTTCTCCGAAGTGATTACCACCCCAAGTAGCTGCATCAAGAACTATGCCGAAGGCCCAGAAAGGGGCTCTTCTCCAGTGTGATCCGCCCCAGATGGCAATGGTGCGGAAGATCGACCGAGAGTCCGGCCACGCCTACATCCTGGAGGAAATCGACGATAGGACCTGCCTGGTCAAGGAGAACAAGGTGGAGGAAATCAAAGCCAAGGTGAAGGAGCTGATGGATGCGGCTATGGGAATGGATGAAGACGACAACGACGACAAGGACAGCGACCTCGATTGAATACAACTCACCAAGGTCCCTTTCTCATCGCAAAGCATCTCGCTTCAACCTTGTCTCCATGAATGCCACCTCATAGGGGACGCGGAAGTTGGTCTTGCCAACTATGAAAGAGCGGGAAACAGGTCACACTATTGCTTTGACCAGGGCGGCCGGAGGATGGCACATGATGTACATAGGATGATCTCTCGGATTTAGGATTCCTAAAGTTGCAACAGCAGCACAATCCTTACGCTCGCGTGCCCGAGGGCAGTCAAATATGAACAAGAATGAACGGCTTACCGCGCAGCCGCGTACTCCAGGGCGTATCAACCAAGCAAGGATGTTGTGGACGGTCCGCCAACGGTGGGGACATTTGTCTACGACCAAAGAGAGCGCAAGCACGGGGATTACCAACCCGAAGCACGAGTTTGTTTGAGACTGATCGTCCTCTTTGGTGATATTCTTTTCTCTTTTCAAGGATCGAGTATTCGTAGTAACGCCAATCTTTTGGAGAAGATGATATTTGTGGATTCGGGGGAACAAAACCAACAAGTCAAACCTCCACCGGGAGTGGGGACTAAGTTTGAGTGAGGCAGACATGCAGAGCATGATGCCACGCGGATGTAGGCGACTCAGCATGCAGAGAGTCAGTAAATGACGAAAATGGGAAGGCGATCGGGAGGAGACGTAGACGAGTGGGTGCGGAGCTCATCTGAAAGGCAGGTCTCAGCGATATGCAGGCTGAATAAGAAGTTAGCAGGGAGCAGCCGATCGAGGTTTGTACCTTTTGGGCAGGGGACAGGAATGCCCTAATGCAGCGTATGCGGCATGACGAAGGAATGCGGATAGAGTCGCCCTGGGGTGGATGATGGTGGTGGTGGCGGCACGCTCAGCTCTGAAGGGGTTTGCTCTATATCGTTACCGAGGAGTCTATGGCCGCCTGGAGAGATGGAACAAACTAGATGGGGTTAGAGAACACGCGTGGGAGGGGGAGATGGAGGTCCTGGTAGTGGGCTTGATGCAAGTGTTGTTGTGCAGGGATGGCTTAGAAACAAGGGGGGGAAGAGGAAATCCTTGCCGGCGGCGGGGCTATCGGGGGATGAAATGGTGTGCATGGACCTTTTGAAGATATGATGAAAGCTATAAGAGAGCGTGTCGGGTACAAGAGGAACTACCCAGGACAAGTAATAGGGTCTGTAGTAGCGTGCCTGCGTACCTGGGAGAGCGACCTGGATACGGACTATATCTAGCGAGGTACATCTGTGGGAAGGTGGAGGAAGGGTGCAAGGGGATCTACCATGTGCATCGGCGTTTGGACCAAAATGTAAGCTTGATGGAGAGCAGGATTTGAACAGTACTACCATGGATATTGCCACGAGAAGTGTTCTACGAGTCGAGTCCTCGGTAATAGTTGGAAGTGAAAGAGAAAGAGGAAGTGAGAAATGAGGTGAAAGTGAAGAAAGAGTAAAATAAGGATTGAGACTGACTGGGTTGCAACCCCCATCTGCCACCTGCCACCTGCCACTTGCTTTTCCTCGATGCAAACTGCACCTGCACCTGCACCTGCTGCCTGCGTCCCCAACCTATTATGCACCAATCATCAACCCGGCGTCTGTCTCTTTCTCCTTCCCTCGTTCACCATCTCCCTTACTCTAATCACTTGTGTGCCTGATGCATTTCCTGAATGCTGCCTGCTGCCTCAAAAAAAGCACTTCTTCTCCTTCTCTTGCTGGTTCATGCATGAATTGAATTGAATGAAACCTTGGCTTTTCTGCGCTTCCGCTTTCTTCTCTCAATCCTCCATCCCTGGTCTTTCCGTCTTTCTCCATTCCCGTCTCCATTTTCCCGCTGGGCTCTGTCACTGGCACCCCTGTCTCTTGCTTCACCCTTGCTCCCCTGCTCCTCGCATTCAACTCATCTCATTGAATTCATCCATTCAGCCATACATCCATTGGGTTCACAGTCTCAACTTTCAGTGCTCTCATACCCCACTTGACCTGTCTCAACTCGTCCTCCAGTCCTTGTACACCCTTTGGACTCCATCGCTTATGTCCCTCGTCCAAACTCGCCCCTACTACCTCAATCACTGACTTGTCTGTTCGTCCAGACCTTCCCACGGCTGGGTCGTAGAACCCGGTTTCAACTTCCTCCCCGCCTCAAGCCGCTGGGCTGCTCTAACCTCCTCCGTCATGGCGATGATCCCCCGCAGGTCTTACTCGACGCCTCCTTGTTATTATCCCCATTCGACTCACCACCTCATCGGCCCCCAACAACGGTTTTCCTGTTGGAATATTTAAGGTGCCTGCAATTGGACTGGCGATCGACAAACCCTGGTCGTCACCCTAACTTAGTCCCCGCTTTAGCCAGCAATCACTTGTTATCCCACCCTCCACCATTCCAGCATTCATATCGACCAGAAAAATCTTCGGATATACACGCTGTTCCTATTCCATGTCGCAAACAAAAGGAAACCTTTCGACCGTCTATATTCCTTCATAATATTGCAGCAGGTTCCTGTGCGGATACGATTGTTCTCTCTCACAACTTCTGTAACAACTGAATGCCTCTCCTTCACACCATTAGATAACTAAAACATTCCTCCCATCTACCCCCACAAGCCACATCATCAAACATCCCACCAAGGTCCTAGTTCATCCTCGAATTCTTATAACCTTCAAGCTCTCCCACGCTCCGGCGTCGCCATAAGAAGAAAAGAGGGAAGAGCGGTCTATCAGTCGGATAACACAATTTTGGTTCCTTCCGACGCCCTTCCTCGATTCGCCCTACCTGACGAGGTACTTGTGGACCATCGCCCCAAGAGCCCCTCGTTGTTTCGAGAGATCTGAACTTTCTATCCTCCACAGCTGCGAAGGTCATTGTTGCGTACATTTTTCTTCCACCTTCGGGCTTGTTCGCCCGCTGTCAGGCCATTCTGGGAACTCCCAACACGCCTACACCGCCATCCAGCATAACCGCGGTCCGAGCCAATTCTGACGCTTGCAATTGGCTTCCTGCTTTGGACTTTTATACAGCTAGGACCGAAGCTCGCACCTCAACAAGAGCGCGTCTCTCAAAAGGTGGAGGACGCTGTGTCCTCTATCCCGCCGTTGTGATACTGGTTCCTCGCATAATGAAACATCTCCTACGATCATTATGTTATTCGAACCCGGCTCTGTCCCTCCAGGACCGCCTATCGAGACCAAGAAAGCCTTGATTTTGCTTGATTTCCAAAAAGATTTTGTTGAACCCAGCGGCAAGCTTCCCGTCGGCAATATTGAACCCTTCTTATCCGACTTACTGTGCCTGGTAGACGAATTCCGTGCCAAGGGCGAGGTGATATGGGCAGGGACCGAGTACAGACAATCCCGTTCAACCATTTCTTCGGTAACTGGAACTCACTCTATAGTCCTCAAACAACATCTCCAACGGCAGGACTTGAACGAAGAGACCAGTGAGTACTACAACGACCCGGGTCACACGCGCTCACCTCGCGAAGATCCCCTGTCACCCTCTCCGAACCCAGACGTCACTCATGACCGGGAAGCGTTTCTTGCTCCCGTCTTGACCACCACTAAGCATAGATGCTGCATGCCCGGCTCACCGGGCGCCGACTATCCTGAAAGCATAAAAACAGCCATGGACGCACAAAGAGACCTAATCATGCTGAAATCTCACTACTCAGCTTTTGAAGGCACGTCCCTACTCATGTATCTCCGATCCAACCTCATCACCGAAGTCTACATCTGCGGCTCTCTCTCAAACGTCGGGGTCTACGCCACCGTCCTTGACGCCGTTTGCCATGGTGTCCAGGTTACACTTGTTGAGGACTGTCTCGGATACCTTGATGAAGCCTGTCATATAGAAGCCATGCGTCAGATGGCAGACACGATGGGTGCAAATGGAATCGACTGTCAGGAGCTGCGTGACGACATTGCCGGCCTGCTTGGTGATGTTATCTACGAAGAGGACTATCCTACCAGATTCCAGGTCAGCCTGCCACCACCGGCTCGCACGACGAAATCCCACACCTCGAGAAGCCAAATTCACGACTGGATTTCGAGTCTCGAAAGCGAAGAAGCCCCCAACACCCTCGCCAAGTCCGAAAGAACACCGCCGAAAGAGACGGAACAGACCGGGGCGGGCCGGTGTGACTCCAACACACCCAGTGAGTCATCTCGTAGATCTATGAGACATATATCAGTTGAGCGCAGTCCTCCCCGGAAAAGATCAACCAGTGATCTAGATCCCTTGGACGAAGAGCGTGTCCTGAAATTAT